CCCCAAGATCTTGATTACACCCTCTACTGCCTCCAGCCTGAACTTCTGTGAATTATTTGTTAATGTCAACAAGTCACTACATTTTTTATTCTTTTTATATTTTAAGTATATTAAAAAACCCAGATATTTATCATCTACATTACAAATAACATTAATCTACATTTTAAAAACTTCAATAGGAAGTTAGCACAATATTAATAAAATGTTCAATAATTAAGCACTGCTCCCAAATGTCTTTTTTATATAAAACATTTGTAACATATACCGTATAACACAAGTAACATAGCCACAGTAGTGGTTATTTCCATAAATGGCTTTTTGAATTCAAAATGTAATTTAGTAACTTACGGCATTCAGTATCAGCATTTATTCAAACTAAGAAACATATAAGCTTTAAGACCCCAGTGGAGCAGAATGGTTTCTTTGCTTAATAAATATAGCAATATTTTTACTTAATACAATACTGAAACATTACAATGCAGTGCAGTCAATGCTATAGTCCCAGTACTTTAAGATGAATGTGAAGTCTTTTGGCAACTGATAAAAACTGACTTCCAACAGTAACATCCCATTTTACTGGAGCACTAGCTGAGTATAACTTAGGGCTTACAGAATTTAACACACTCTTTACTGACTGCTCCAACAAAAATAAACCTCAAGTAAGCATCTTGGTTTTATGAATGCATTTTGGAAACAATTCCACGTTGAACATTTGTCTGAAATACTGCCTTCCGTAGGCAAAAAGACATATTTAATATGCTTATCAGCCATCTCACAAACAGAACTGGTTTTAAAACCTGGAGATTTCACTTCATAAGAAATTATTTAACAAAAATAATCTTTTTTGATAAATATTGCCAACAGGTTGATTAGTTGTTACATTTTTTAAAAAATATTTTCTAAATAAAATTGATACCTATGGGTAGCAGACAGACACTGGAGATTACTTCTGGCTGGAAGTACAAAGAAGCCGAGACCATTATGCCTGTCCACTTTTTATGCCTTCAGGACTGGGTAGTATGAGGACATGTAGGGCCCCCCACTTGTGTCTCCACTACTGATTAAAGAATCCCATTTCACAAGCATGGGCTGTATGTATAGTCTGTGCAAATAACGTCTAAAAGAAGAAATTTTGGATTGGTATGAATATTAATTCAGTTCTAGGAGAAATTCAAAGTATTCCTGCCTAATGCCTGGACACTGATAATTCAGAATTATAACCAAAGTGCTGTTTCTGTGGCATCGCACAAAACTATAGCAATTACCATGCACGTAGGTGTTACTTAATGTACAATTCTGACATAGGTGAAAAAACACAAAATTAAGGAGATCATAATAGGGACTTGGGGCCTAATTCTTCTTTCACACACCCTAGTTTTATGATAGTGTAATTTCATAGACTTCAACCAAGAGTAAAATTGGATCCCCAATCTTCTGTTGCCCCCAAAAGAGAAGGTTGGTACATCCTCTCAAGTGTAAATGCTCATCTCAGCAAAAATACAACAGACTCACAACAAGTGTTTGTAACTGGAAAATATATGCAATTTTGTCTTTTAAAAAGTTTCATATTGTTACATTCTTCCTCATTTTCTCTACTACACCAGCATATTTTTAATATTGGAACACACACACATTTCCCTTGCAATATCTGTCAATAAACAGCTTCAGTTGCATACCTTTCTTCTTCTGTTTCCTCCAAAGTGTCTTAGTGATACAGCACAAAATAATAAAAGATTACCTAATTTCTTCCCATTGAACAAAATAAAAGAATCTCAAGTGCATTTTGACATCAGTAAGTATTCAGTAGGGGAAAATGTTTAATAGACCCTGATTAAATTTGAAACTTCCATCTTTTTAGAGGATGTGTGGAATCTTTTCACATGCCATCTTGAATAACCTTAGAAGTCTCTGAATGTAGAATTCCTGGAAGAGGGGGAAAATTGTATAATTACTCTCATATTTATTTAATAGTGAAATCCATGCTGAAGTTTATATTTGTAACATTTAAGGACTTAGGCCTGCAAGTGCTCTTTGTGTGGAACTCCTATTTGCTTTAACAGGGGTTCCACCTACAGACGATTTACAGGATTAGGCACCAATTGCCCAATTTCAAAAGACATGAGTAGCCAAATGCTGTTTGAAGTCAATCATAATTCCAGCACCTCTGAAAACTGGAGCTATAATGATTTCCCACTAATTAGGTAGAATAGTAGTCATATAGCACACAGGAATCTCAAGTACTATTACACTACAGGTAGTATTACAGCAGAGTAATGTAACACACTAAGAATTATGAAACCACAGCACAATCCCACTAAAAAGAGAAGATGATAATTGGTTGACTTAATCTACAGTCACAATCCAACCACTCAACAAGCTGTTTTCATGAATAGCCAAAAAGGGGGAAGGTGAAGAATCAAAGAATCACATCAGAACAGCCAATAACAGTGAATAAGGCATTCACCTGGGCTGTGGGAAAGTAAGTTTGAATTGCCAAATACAAATAGGGTAGAGCAGAAATCTTAACCTGAGTCTTCTACATTGCAGAAAAGTGCCCTACTAGTCCTCAGGCCCCTGGCTAGTCTGTTTTCCAGGAAACTTTTGTTGAATGTGGCATGCTCGCACAAAGTTTATGTTTTGAAAAAAATAATTTTTGACATAAAACATTTAGAGAAAAAAAATTCTTGACAAGCCCAAATTGCCTCTAGTTTGTCCAAGTGAGAATGTTTAAGAACTGAACGTGGAATGATGTGAAGCATAATTAACCCTTGAATATTTAAGTCCCAAAAAACAAAAGGAGAGAGAAGAAAAAACCTGAAATACAGCAGCCCAGAAAGTATACTGTTTTTGAAACGAAAGGGTTTATTTGCATATAAAAGTTATACATGTTTAACTAAAAAATATATAAATTTATTTTGATAAACCAATAGAAAAATCTTAGTGGACAAATTTAAATTGGTTTACACTTAGCTTTTATCAGTTGAGCTGGCAGGGGGGCCAATCCTGTAGCCTATATAACCCCTAGACCAGGGTTTCTCAAACTTTATCATAGTGAGCCTCACTGAGCTATGAAAAAAAATGACTGCGCCTCACCATAGCATCATCATATTTTCAACATCTGTATTTTGCTGGAACCTCTGTAGCTATGCTCTCTTTTCTTGGGTTGTACACTTTTCTCCCGTTGTCACAAAATGATTCATTTCTTATTTAAGCTGTTTCTCACTAAGCACGCTTATTTTAAAAATATTTTTAATTTAATTTCAAAAAATATTTTTGTCCTGATTTACGTTTGAATAGTAAACAGAGTAAATAAAGGCAACTGCAAAATAGCTCAAAAAAAAGTCTTACTCTTGTATATTGTGTGTGGGGGATTGGGTGTGGGGGGTGTATGGTGTGTGTGTGTGTGTGTGTGAGGTTGTGGGGTATAAGTATGGGTATGGGGGGTGTGCATGTCCCCCCCATGGCACACAGCCCCCACCATGGTGGCAGTAGCAGCAGCAGCAGAGGGCTGGCCCTTGGAGCACTCATGGCCCACACAGGTGGAGCCTCCTGATGGCACTTGGCTCCAGCAAGTTCTGGGAACTGTATGTGGTGGCAGAGGGCCCACTTCATGAGCGGGCCCCTGGCAGCTCAGCCTCACATGCAGCTCTTGTGATTCAGATGCTGCCAAAGGGGAAGCCCTGCGCAATGGAACCAGCACCCTGGCCCTGCTCCCTGCCACCACATGCAACCGCTGGACCCCACCAGGAAGCAGAGAACAGAGCTGAGCTCACCTGGTGCCATCATGTGGTGCTCCCCGCCACATCCAGCCAAGCCCCAATCTGGACTCTGTAGTCCTGCTGCCCCGCTGGCCGTGAGCCCTGTACTTCAAGCTCTGCACTCCCGCCAGCCCTGGTCCTGTGCTCTACACTCATGCCAAGCTGCAGCTTCCCCCACCCCCAGCTTCCCTACCTGCTGCCTAGAGTGCTGCCCTCTCCTCAGAAAAGGCTCACAGCTTGCACTTTCCTTGACATGATGCTGTGCCTCCCCAGGGAGGCCCACCTGATAGTTGGAGATCCCTTGCCCTAGAGAATTGGCAAACAGAGCAGACACAAAGTAGACTTGTGGCTCCTAGCCACACCCCTGTTTGCCAGCCCTTTAGCTGCAGTTCAGAACAGTCCACATTAGAGAGGGTATTAACCTTTAACATGCAACTGCTCACAGCAGATGCTAACTTTAAACACTGACTAGCATTTCTCAGCACATGCTAATTGTAATGTGTAACCTCATCCTGTCATACTGACAAAGGCAACCTTCTGGATTACATATTGTTGCTATCTAGATTTTCCCCAGAAGCACAGATAATTGGGAAGAGAACCTACTTACTGCACAGGTAGGTAATGCTCCATGAGCCACAATGGAAGGGTTAAGAATGTTGGCACCCAAACACGAGGAGTTGTAAACCACATAAATAAAGCTGTTAAAACCTTAGGAAATTCCCTTCAGACTCTTGAAATGAGTAGCACATTTCTAGCTCTTGTTAGATTTCAGGTATGCAGCAGATGGCAAATATATATTGTCAGGGGGGAGCTGAGCACTTATATAACATATATTTCCGGGCAATTCTGCTCATCTTTCTTTCTAATGGATCCTTTCAAGAAGTGTGGAAGGCCCCAAGGAGGTCAATTTTCTTGGAGAAGCACATAACTGAGTCTACACATCATAGAATATTAGTTAGCATCTCATCATTGGTTAGGAAATCTATACAATTTTAATAGATTTAGAGAAAGAAGATGTAGAATCCAAAGTAGCACTGGATGTGTCCACATACATTTAAAGGTTCCAGAGAAAAAGCTCTTCTGTTTTCTCCTCCCCAAGAACCAATGGAAACATCTTTATTTTTAGAAAAGTTTCTGTAATGATCACCACTATATTAGTTGAGCACCTTTACAATGTCTTTTCCTTGTGGATCTTCGAACTGCATTGGGCAGAATGTCTCTGAGAACATTTCTAGTTTACAAGAAACCCACCTGGCTGGCTGCAGGACATCATAGTCAATTTAACAAGTCACTCCCAATCCCACTTTCTTAGAAATAAGAGACAGCAGGGTAGGCAAAAAGCATAAGGTACATCTAAGGACAGGAGTTCCAGCAGGTGGCTTGCTAAGCCTGAATGTTTTAGGGCTGAAATCAAATAAATTTAAGACTGCACCCTAGTTTTATGGTAGTGTAATCCATGGGTGGCAGTATTTCTTCTGTTGCCCCCAAACTTTCACAATTTAAGTCTCTGTTCTCTTTCCCTATCAGGAGTTGGAATATACTTGAACTACTTACCCTTCCAAGGACCGGTCCAGGGTCCAATCAGGACACCTATGGAGGGGGTGTTCAGGTGAGGATGTCCTTAATGTAGAATTTAACTGGTAATTAGAAGTAAGATTTTGGTGGCGAAGTTCTTGTACAGCACGTTCCCTAAATTAAAATGGTAATTTACTTCAAAGAAGGTGACATCTGCTAAGCAGCAAATCTTCTCCATAAGGCTATTCTTTAGACCTAAGATAGTTCTCTCTTATAAGGTGGGTATGCAATCTAAAAAGATGTGTACACACACACACACTTACTTCTTTTTAGACTGCATATACACATTTAAATTATATATGTTGTCAGCCTCTAGGTAAAAGGTTGTAGGTTGAAATCTTGTGTCAGATCAGATCACATACCCAGTTCAACCTGTGCACTATTTTGCACCATTAGAAATATCATCTACTATAAGAGAAACTTGCACTTCTTTGGTAGTTTTCCAGACAGAAGCTAAAAATTCTATAACCTTCAGGATAAGCTCAGTTTCCTGACTGTCAGAGCTTCCTTTCTTGCATTCTAAGAGTCACATGATAGCTACCATGACAATGTGATGGCAACTCCAGTTGTCTACAGCTGTCCAGTTATGTGTTACTTATTACTTTATAACGTACCATATTCTCTCACATACAACACATCTTGGAATATAATATGCGCCTTGCTTTTGAAAGGCAACATAAAGAAAACAATTTTTTTTTGTACTAGCTGAACAGAAGTAGCTAGTGAGCTGAGGCTACCCACTGTTGTGATCCTCATAGATCACTACAGATTTTACTTTTGGCTTCACCCTGTAAGTAGAAGAAACTATTATTGCTGTATCTCTTTCATATAATGCACACTACAATGTGGTCATGGGTTATGGTGCCATGGCGGGAAGAAGATGGCTTCTTGCGCCCACCCACCTCTGAACTGAGTTGGGTCATTAGGGCCCACAGTCTAAAAAGGTTGTCAACCATTGTTCTATCAAAACACTTCAGGAAGTGAGTTTGTACAAAAATACCAATAGGTGGTGTCATTGTTTATACGAGGTGAACTGCAATGATGCTGCATGCCTTTTATCAGGATTTCCTGATTTATCATAGAAAGGTCCCAATGGCTAGGGTCCCTTAGCACTTCTAACAGTTTTCTGAGTTTGTATGGCAAATAAATGACTCCAGTTTAGAGAAACCAAGCCATTTAAAAATATATTTTAGTCTTGGAATGTCAACAAAGATTCAGTTATTATTATTCAATTTTTCCCCTTATTTATAAGATTGTGAGCTATACAAATACAATCAAGAGGCTGATGTGCTATTTAACACATGCATCTCTGTAGGAGAGCTTGGTAAATCTTTACTGTTTTAGGTGGGGGGGGTTCAAAATACTTCATAATATACTGTACCCACACACATTTTCCTCTACATTTCCACTGTTTCTAACTCCTTGTTCTCCTCCTTTCTTATTTTTTCCTCTTCACATTTCCATTCTTCAATTTCTATGCTCCTTTCCTCTCTACTTTCACTCCTCCCCTCCTTTTGACTATCTGTATGCATTATAACCAGCATATCCAATAGAAGGGAGCAGAAAGAAAGGGACTGCAGTTACTCACCTTAGTAACTGATATTCTTCAAGATATTCTGCACATGTGGACTTTACCCATAGTGTGTGTGAGCCCTATACATAAGAGTTTAGAACATTTTTAAATGCAGTTTCAGTTAGAAGATAGTGCATGTGCCCTGCATGCCTCTGTCTTTCCCCTTCTGAGGGCATAAAGGGAGGAATGGTTCCAAACACTTAGTTCCTTTGCTGCTCAGAATCCAGATGAAATGATTCAGAGCTGCCCGGAAGAAGGGCAGATGACAGGATCTACATACACAAAACATCTCAAAGAGTCAGTTATTGTAAGGTATACAGCTGTTCTTTTTTCCTCCAATTCTGTGTGGATGCAGATCACACTCATCATGATCAGTTAGTAATGTGGTTCTCTGGTGGTGGGAGCTAAGAATTCATCTAAATAAGGATTCCAGAATCACACTCTAGAGCATCAATCATGAGCCTGCCACTAAAGGCTAGAAATTGGTAAATGTGCAAATCAAGGACCATCTAAAAATTCCTGCTAAAATTGGAGTTCTGTTAAAACAGACCAGTGAAATTACTTGTGCTGTAACTGAATGAGTCCTGAGTATGCTAGAGGTTCTAATTTATATTTATATATGATTTTATATATTGTTTAATCCAATCTGCTATTTGCTTTTATAGTCTCTAACACCAATCTATCTTTGCCAGAGGCATAACAATGTGGCCAAGTGCCCAAGGCAGCTGCCACACAGGGGTAGTGGCAACTTCTGGTTTCTATCACTGCTGCCCTTTTTCTGTAGACAGCAGGGGTAGCTATCTGTTCCTGCAGAGGCCTGATGGTGACTTAAGAACATTTGGAAAATGTCCCTAAGGCTGGCAGTGGTGAGAATAACTGCTCTCCTTACCCTTTCCGCTCTCCACCCCCTGCAGAGATCAGGATTACTCCCTGCCCTGCAAAGGGGCTGAGGTAGCATGGCCCCACTCATCCTTGGGGCAGCAAGGATAAGTTGAACTGCAGGGGCTGCCATCCTCTTCTATGCACAGACTGCGGTCAGCCAGGGTGACCCTGGTCTGTTCAGTGACCAGGAGCATTGGCACTGGCATCAGGGTCTCCACAGAGCTCCTAGATAGCTCTCTCCTGGACAGGCAGCCTATCAAGGAGCCAGTCTTCTGCCTCCTTCCCTCTGTTTCCTTTTCAGGATGGCAGGAGAGAAGACGACTGTGAGATACCAGTGGTCTTTACTACCTGAAAGAAGTATACAACTGTTGAAGTAAATGCAAAAGAGAGATATTCCTTGTCAGAAATGCTCTCATTTTCCTGTGGAAGGCCACTGAATGGCTGTACATCTTTTTGTGCTATGAGAAAAAAATTTTCCCAGCACAAATGTAATGCCTGTCCATACAGCCTAGAAGAATACAATAGACACAGAGGTTGTTCCAACTCTTTGTCAAGCAGTGAGCAGATAAGCTGAGCGGTGGTTACAATTGCTCTGCCCTTTATGCTCTGCAAATTGGAAAAAAATCAGTGCATATGTGCCACCTACCCTGCATTACTGAAGAAAATATTCTGAACTCTTCTTCAGAGAAAGCATCATGAGTGAGATCCACATGCACAGAAGATTGAAGAGGAGAAGAGCAACAGAACTGGCAGGAGCTTTTTTTCCTTTAACAAGACACCACCAATCCATTTGGTTACAAGTGGTACCGTTGTCTATTTTACGGAGTTGCAGAAGCTCTAGTTTTTAAATTAATATTTTTGTTACCACCCCACAATTTTGCAGCTTTGTTCTGGCTACAAAATCAGAGAAAAAAGGCCTCTGATTCAGATTCTGTAAATAATAATACACTCTTCATTTCTATTTCACTTTTCTTAAGAGGATTTCTAACACTGCACAAACACAAATAAATTAAACTTTACAAACCCTTGAGTTAAATAAAAAAAAGCATCCCTATTTATTTATGAGGAAACAGATACCAGGAAGTAAGGGACTTGCTAGCATGGACTAGATTTAATAATTCACACCTCTGTAGTTGGATAAAAGAAGCATGATGATGTAATTATATGCAAATTATATATATTGAGTAATTATATGCAAAGGTGACTCCAGGGGATACATCAATACAGTCACACCTTCCTTTGGCTGTGCCACACATGTACGTCAAGCTTGCCATATGATCAGCACAGGCTCCTGCCAGAGCTCCATCTGAGTGGTAAGCTCTAGATCACCAGGTGCTTGCTATGAGCTCTGGCCAAAGCCGCTGCTTTTATACTCCTCCAGAGCCCAGGAGGTGAACACTGCTGCTTTTCACCCCCACTTCCTCTCTCCCTTTTCCCCCCACCCATCCCAACTGCTGAATTCAGCAGCAGGGGAAAAAGAAGAAATAAGCAGTGGAAGTGCTTACAGAGAGGCTAAGGTCACATCTACATGGCAAACTTACGAGCAGCTCAGCCCTCACTCATGCCATGCTGTTTCGCTGGGGTGCTTCTTAAACTTAAAATAAGGTACTTGTGTCTGAATGCTGTCTCAGCCAGGTTGATTAGCATGGGATAATTGACACTGATACTAAGCTGCACTAATTAGCTAGCCTGAAGTGCCACATGGACAAGGCTACACTCTTTTACACATTTGCTCATGATACTTCCTGAGGTCACATGAGCAACCTTTATTTAATGCAAAGTAGTCTTACTTAAGTACAATGCAGTCAACCTGAAATAAAAATGAAAAAGAATAAATAATATAAAAACATACACTTGCCTTTCAAAGCGCTCTGTCCCCAGCTGTCTTTTAGTGATATCTAGATCAGACTCTAATTGAGATGTTGTATTTCTGAGCTGGGCAAATTCTCGACTTTGCATAGCACTGTAAAGTACACAAAATTGTCATCTGACTGTGGTAACCATCCCAATATAACAATACATACAATTATGCAGTTACCAAGGATAGAAAGAGTACAGTTGATATAAACAGCATTAAAAAAAGGAGTTAATAATCTGAAGGGGAAAATATTGTACGGTACAGCACAGCTGCTGAGTCATGGGCACAACTCTACTTTTTGGCCTTCTTTTACTCTCAAGGTAATCCAAGAACACTGACCAGTCAAGAGGAAACTAAACAAATAACCAGTATATGTACACACATGGGAAAAAAGAAAGACAAGTCACACCTCAGCCTAGATAACCAAATAGTTTTATTTACTCACAGTTTATTTTCAGCTAGAGAAAGCTGCTCTTTAAGAAGCTGAATCTCAGACTCCTTTTCCTGTTTTATTATCTGTGCCTGAAATTCTTTCTCTCGATTGGATATCAGCAAAGACTCTAGGTTTTTCATAGAGATTCTTTCATTTGCCAGCTGTTTCCTAAGGAGTTCTATTTCAGAGCGAGATGATTCCCATTCATTTCGCAGCTGAGAAACAAATATTTGCATTTAATTCCATTTATGCCAGTGAGCACTCATCAATGACCTGTATCACAATATGTCTGCTAAACTGTAAATCAGTTTCTCAAGTTTCTAGCTTTTTTACTACCTGGCGATACTTCCAGATTCCTCAGCCCAGAGGCACAAGACTGGTCTGAGACTCACAGGCAGCACCATGAGCTAGATGATTAGGCTACGCAGACTGGATCTGGCCCATAGACTGAATCTTTGAGGCCCCAGTATAACGGGGGTGTCAGACTACAGTAGGTCTTGCAGTGGCATATTAGATATCTGACAATTTCAGCTGGATCGCTACACTATGAATCTATCAAAAACTCTCAGAATGCTTTGCACAGTCTGAAAGTATGAAAGGCCAGCAAAATATGCAAGATTTGGAACAAATAATCTAATTTTCCAACAAAGGGACTGTCATATTACACAACAGTATTATCAAAGGAAGACCAGCTGTTATAAACAGAAATCAGAAGCAACATGAAGGATGAGGGCTGCTGGAAGCCAGTGAAGCAGAAGTGAAATAATTTAGTTGAGTTGGACAGAGGAGCAAAAACTAAAAGTCCAAAAAGTGAGGAGGGCACAGAAACAGAATTTTAATTAAAATACAGTGGTAATCTGAATCAGCACCCATAGTTTTTAGAACTTAGGCAATTAAAAAAATGTTTATTGACAAAATAAATTGCACAATACATATGACAGGCTATATTCTACAAGAGCCTATGAGTTTAGGGATCTTGGTGTCCCTTCTGGAAGACTTCTCAAATAACAGCCAGCTCCTTCAAAGAAGGCTGACAAGTACATGGATTTAAAATCCAAGGCATACCCTTTTAGAAGTTAATAATAATTTTGGGTGCCTCTATCCATCCTGAAACACCTAAAAGACATCTGCCTTTTTCAAATGTTGAAGGTCTGCCATTTTGAGATGTGCCAGGCCTTTTTAAAATGGGTCAAGATGAACATCCAAAAAAACTGACACCCCAAAGAAAAATAGTAAATTTGGAAAAAACCCTAAATAGGTTAATTCACTAAAGGAATTTAGCTTTGTCTATTAATTAAATTTTTGTTCTCAAATATAAACTTCTTCCACAATATTATTATTTTACATACCCTTTCCACTTCCTGTGTTGCAGAGGTTAGTTGCCGATTTAATAGCTCTTTGCTAGAGTCTAATTTAATGCAAACTTCTCGTGCAGATGCAAGATCTGCAAGTACAGAAACTTTCTCCAGCTGTATATTCTGAAGTTCCTCTTCCATTTTTACAAGAGACTTGCTTAAGGTAGAAATCTGTGACTTGTAGGCTTTTTCTGTTGCTAAATGCTGCCAAAACAAATTGGTTGTCTACATTTAAAAGAAAATAAATCAAGAGTACCCAAGTCCTAAAAATTCATAATTATGGCACGTGCTAGGAAATTTTCTGTGGAAATTGAAAAACAACCCTACAGTTTCTTTCGTAAAATATTAGAACCTGTAAAATAATCTAGACTAAGTTTTAAAATCTTTTCAAGTAAGTATTAACTTTTCCCATCCCTCATAACAAATAATTTAAAAAAATCTTGTTGCTTCTGATCATAAAAGCTGTCATTCATGGTTTTAAAACCTTGTCTAGGATTTTGCAGTGTTTGCAATGCTGACAGTCTTTAAAATCCTGCTTTCAGTCCCACATTCAATCTCTTAACAAAACCTCATATCTTAATAATAAAAAAACTTGAATACAGTGAAAATGAACAATCAATAAATATTTAGATCCTGTAACACTTACCTTGCTGTTTTCTATAAAAGGCACTGCTACAGAGGTGACAGAATCATACAAAAGAGGCATGCACAAGCAGAAAGCCATTATTTCTCTCACTACAGGCATTTGGAACTGGTGTTTTATTTGAACATAGCCTACTTTTTTCTTCTGAATATGCTTCTAACTGGCCCAATCACAGAAACATAAAAGTAACTGATCCTAAAGGGGCTGGTGCCTGTGGTTTTAGTTTTTGACAGGCAAAAAGATGACACAGGATAGTTCATGGGGGTGGTAATAAGATAAGGTTGTTGCCACCTAAGGAAGTAACAAGATATGATGATCTCCCTGAAGTACACATTAGGATTGGGATTAACGGAAACAGTGTAAAAGCTGTGTGGAAAGTGTTACCCTAACTCTCCTTCTTGGTTTGCCAATGTTTAGTTTTGGAAACTGAACTCTCATGCCCTGGAAGGGCACAAGGAATATAGGGCTGTATTGAGTACCTGAAAAATTAATTACATATTAACAAATTACTATTTTTTGTCCTGAAGTCACCAGCTGAGCTCCTATCATCATTAAATCAAAGATATTATCCATCTGATGAAATCCCAGTAGCTCAACTTAAGTAGATTTGATGGCTTAAGTTAAATGAGTTTAGGGTTGTGATAGGATATACAAACACCACAAAGGGATTTATTGAACATAAACACTGTGGTTGGCACCTGTAAAAGGTATCATATATCGCAAAAGTGGGAGACAACAGGTGGCGAGGCAGGGAGCCTCATGGGTCTTCCCATTAGAATTTTATGTGGGCTAAGCCCAGCCTTTTGACTGGCAGTAGATCTCATACTCATAAGGGCTATGGGAAGTGCATCTGGCCATCAGGCCAGCCAAAAGGTGTTAAAAAGGAGAGCTCAGAGAAACCTTGGCAGGAAATAAGAGCAGACCAGCTGCCCCCATCTCAGAGCCTGACTGCCTCTAGACCTGATGTTATAGCTGCATTGCACAATGAAGTATTAAGCAGAGATATATTGGCTAGCTTTGAATGAGCCAGATTTGGCATGGGCCACATTAATGGTGCTCTTTATAGCCTTGGTCCGCAAGCTACCACAACCACACCATTTTCAATACTTGAGTTAACTTATACAGAGATCTCTGCATAGCATTTCGTTGCGTCATGAAGACATACTTTGAGTAGGACTTTGGTTATTTAGAACTTTTCTGGAGGGAAGAAAGGCCTTGCAGTGGACTTCAGGATGACTGTTAAGCTACACTGTAGCAAGGGGAACCTCACTTGAGGGGAAGAATTGAGACTAAGAGTTGAGTTAAGAGTTGGGGGGATACATATCCTCCAAGGGGCAGAGAACTAAGCCCAGCTGGGATAGAAGCATTGTGGTTTGCCAGGCGTGTCTCAGTGTGAAAAGAAACATGTCCTTGCCAGTGCAAGCAAAACTGCAATTTAGTTTTTCTGGATCTCCCAAAATTTGGTCACCTGCTCTAGCAACAGTTCTTTGTGCTGTACTGCCAATGCTATGCTCTCCTGTATAAAACCATTAATTCAGGGATGGCCACAAGTGGCATAGTCAGCATCTATATATATGGTGTGTGGTAGACTGAGAAGGGGACTGGCAGCACAGCAGCAGAAAGGGCAGGAATCAAAAAGGAGAGCAGCAGATTGGGCAGGGACATAGGGCAGGAAGCAGAAACAGCATTTGATCAGGCAGGAAAAGGGGAATAGAATGGAACCTAGGGGGTGAGGGCCTAACTTGTGACACACCTGCCAAAAAGTTGGCCCCCACTTCTTAACTGGACACCAGCAACAACTGGGCTTCTCTGGTCTACTTCATGAAGCAGTAAGAACTGGTTTCCATGTTCTAAATGTTTTTTGGACCACTCTTCCCACTCCCCTCTGCAATTCTTCAGAACCATTGTTAGAAAGTGGATTTTTGTACCATGTCAGGCTCCATATGGAGGACAGAAGAACTTGAAGCAAGAACTGGGAGAGGAATGGAATATATGATAAAGAATTTACATATAACTTGGGTATGCCGTAGGGCATTGTATGAGGTGAAGCTTTCAGACATTTAAAGTGCACACACAGTTAGATAAAACCACACTGCAGCAGGGTGCTTATAGCTTCTGCTACCTTAAGGGAAGGCAAGCTGCAGGTGAAGCAGAGAGTAATCAAGGGAGCCACGTGACCCAAAAGAGGCTGGGCTTTCAGGATATAAGCCCAGGGCCAAAGCTGGGCAGAAAGCCATGGAGAAAAGAGCTCCTGAGCAGAAAGGCTACAGCAAGGCTCCTGACTAATACCTGAGCTGGGGTAGGCAAGACCAGGGGTTTAGGGATTGAGACTGTAGAGATGGTGGAGTTCTCAGCTGGCCTAGGAGTGAGGCCAGGACCCAAGGGATTGGGGCCACGGCCAAGGAGCAGGGCCGCAGCCAAAGAGTGATGAGAGCAGGCAGTGCTTGTACGACCTGTTGGACCCGCAGAACCCACAGACCAGGAGGGGTGAGGACCAGAGTAAGGGACCCGTAGCCTGTGAGGGGCAAGAAGAAGGGAGGCCAGGGGGCCCCATAGTCTGGGAGGGGCAGAGTCTGTTGGACTTATAGTTAGAGATACAGAGGTTGAGCCCAAGAGGGGCAGAGAATGTAGGCCTAAACCCTAGAGGGGTTGAGAGTGTGAGGTAGAGGCCCGGGCCCAGGAGGGGCTGGGACGGTTAAAGGCACTAGGGCTGGAGGCCCCAACAGTGGTGGAGACTGTCCTAGGTTTAGAGGACTGCATTGACTGGAGCTGACACTAGGAATGAAGGCCCAGGAATGAGAAATGGACTGGACTGGACGATGGGGCTTAATCCCCAATGATGGGTAACATATGTGAGGCTTGGGTGTAGCTAAAAGGGGAGATGAGGAGGCCATGTAATTAGCCCTTAAGGTGATGAGCAGTGACACCTGTGTGCATAAGCATGTGATCTCGCTTGGAGCAGCCTCCCTTTTCTTAACAGTGTAATTACATCAAGGCATGGTAGACGTGTTGAAAGGGAGATTGCTCCAAAGAAAGTAAAGGTGACAAGGCCTGAGGAGGGTTCCATGGGCATCACAGTCACCCCTGGGGCGAGGCCCTGTTATTCTCACCTTAAAATATGTTAAAATCTTATAATTAATATTTTTTTGTGCCTATACATACGCAGCAAGGCTGCTTTGACGTGCTGTAAGTACAGCGTGTTGGAGCAGACTATTTCATAGACATTAGGGCTGGAAGGGACCTCGGAAGATCATCAAGTCCAGCCCCCCCGCCCAAAGGGCAGGAAGTCAGCTGGGGTCATAGGATCCCAGCAAGATAAGCATCCAATTCACTCCTGAAGGTATTCAATGTAGATGCTTGAACCACCTCCGATGGCAGGCTGTTCCAGACCTTGGGGGCTCAGACAGTAAAGAAATTCTTCCTTACGTCCAGCCTGAAACGGTCTGGCAGTAGTTTATGACCGTTTGACCTCGTCATCCCTTGGGGCGCTCTGGTGAACAAACGTTCCCCCATATCCTGGTGGTCATCCCTGATAAACTTATAGGTGGCCATCAGATCACTTCTGAGCCTGCGCTTTTCCAGGCTAAAGAGCCCCATGGCTCTCAGCCTGTTGTCGTAAACTATTAATCTAGTCTGCTTAAGTGTGGTAATTACTGCACTGCAACAGACTCCAGCATCATGTGTATCAGTGTCCCCATGCTGAAAAATGGTGGTGGGGGCATTTTAGCTAAAGCATGTTTGATGAGCTTTAGTTAAAGTATCCCCACCACTACTTTCCACACAGGGATGCTGATACACATGACGTTCTGAGTGCTTTAATTAAAGCAGTTCTCAGAGCCACTCTAATTAAAGCGCTTCCCCACTCCCCCTGCTCCTGGAGCACGTGTATAAATGCCTGTGTTTGCCAATGAATATTGGTTAAAAGGAATTCCAAACAACAGTTATGGCATACTATACAATTCACCCCTACTATAAATTCATCCGGTTAGACCAAATTTGTTAACAGCTTCTGACTTACCAGTAACATTACCAGGCATTGTTTAGTGTAAATTATAAAAGATGCTGTTCTAACTTACTTGCTCCATCTCTATATCAAGGGATTCTATTCTCTCTCTTGTCCTGTGACTCTCAGACTCTGCAATAAGAAGTGCCTGTTTAACAGAATTACAGTCTGCCTCTGCTTGGAGGAATTTTGTTTCCCAGCTTTCTGCCTGTTCGCTGGCTCTGTGGTACCTCTCCAAAATTTCATGATTTTCTCTCTCCTAAAATAAAGAATCCAGTTTTATTTTTTTAAAAAATGATCTTCTGTAGTAAATTAAACAAAAATATGGGAAACATTCATGTCCACAGTGATAACAAAGGACCTGATACCTTCTCTCCATAGAAAATGTTCCCCTTCTAGCTCAAACTTCAGATAAAAAGAATCAAGAGATGGTACTGGGTCCATTTAGATGGCTTAAACCCTTCACTGTATTATAATGTTAAATATTAATGTATTTCTGCAATGCAGAGATATACCTCACATTTTTTATTAAAAATTCCTGAATAGACACACGATTTAAGTAATACCTATTTCTGTGTATAGCATTAAAAACTATTTATTACAAGTCTTAGAAATACGATTAAATCACAGACTTTAACTTTTATAGATTTATTATTTTACATGGAATAATATGTTAAAGTTTCAGTCACTGTTAATCAGATGTAATATTAAAATTGATCTGGAAATGAAAGGTAACCAGTTCCCTGTCATTCAAAGCCCACTCCCTGATGACAGCAAAAACAAACGAATAAAAATTCAGACTATCAAAAAATGCTGGGCTGAACTGAATTATGGAAATTTCAATTAGGAAGAAAGGTTTTGAAAAAGCTACAAATGAAAATAGGGTTAAAATGATTTACCATATTTTTCATATACAACACACAGTCTTTCCCAAAAACTAGCTGCTGGAAGTTGAAATGTGCATTATATGGAAGGAAATACATTAAGAGCAGTTTCTGCTGCTTACTGGACTAAAGCAAAAGTAAAGTCTGCATGCCACCCACAGGAAGCAGAACAATTAGCAGATTTTACTCCCTAGCTGCTGCTACTCAGTTACTTCTTACTATAAAGATCTTTTTCTTTATTTGTCCTTTCAAAGAAACAAGATACACATCTTATTCTGGGACATGTTGTATGGAAGAATATACAGTAATTCTTGTTATAAATGTTTTTTTATAACATGTCTTAGCAACATGCATATACTTACTTTAGAATTTAGCGTGGTTTTCAGTTTGGCAATAGTTGCATTTGAATCCTGGACTTCCAACTTCATATCATCAAGTTCATTCTCGTACTTCACAAGTTTCTGGTGGTGTATCTGTGAAGATATTCAATCTGTAAGGCTAAGTTTAATGTAGTGATTTTAATACAATGGAATAAAACTAGCTAGCAAGTAGCTAGAAAATACTGCTTTTCTATCTAACTTTTAAGTTTACAGGATACAAAAAAATCATATCAACTCAATCCTTTTGGCTGTACAAATACAACAGAAACTTTTTACATAATTTTTATGCTTCTTGGTAATGTTTTAGGGTATCTTTCATAAAAATAATAGACTGCTTGATCTACTATAAAAAGAGTTTATGAAAGAAAGAGAACAACGATTGACAACAAAATCCAGCTATTAGCTGACTGGAGTTATATCAGGGATGAGATTAGAAACCAATTAGGAGATAAGAACATAAAACTTAAGAAATGCCATACTGGGCCAGACCAAGTCCACCTTGCCCAATAAGTATTTTATCTCTCCCAGAGATGGACAGTAGCAGAAATGAATCAGTATTATACATAAGGCAGGCCACAAGTGACATACAACACTTCTGGAAATATGCAATTTTAACTTTCAGTCAAGGTTCAGTGTTTAGGTATACCTGATTTTCTTGCTTAATATTATAAAGCTGATCCTGCAATCTGTCATTCTCTTTAGCTAAGGATTCTCTGTCTCTGTTAGTCTGAGCAATTTCATGATTGGCTCCATCTAGTTGCTGACGCAGTCTGGTGATATCTTCCTTATAGGCACAAAGACTTTCAGCAGACTGTCTATGCAGCAAATAAAATTATATGTAATAAACACAAGCAATACATTTTCAAGGAATTAAGATTGAAAGTCACTAAACAAAAAACACAGTTAGAAACTAGAAAGTGACATTTTGTAATGTAAAAAAACAACATGTAAAACAATGTATTTTAGAAAATTTAATTCTGATCAGACAATTCAATATTTTCATACCATTGATATTTTTCCAATGAAAACACTGTTCCAATAATGCTGTCCTTAGAATTCGACTTACTTTGATGAATGCTCCACCTCAGAAACGATTTCCTTCAAACTTAAAATGGTCTTTTCCTTGAAAACAAATTTAAAAAAAATAAAACTAGTTTCTCTTCAATAAATAAATGAAAGTGGTTGCATAGGATCAAAATATAACTTTTTCATTTTTTTTAACCGTCTATTCTAAAACTTCAAGCTCATTCTGGTTTGGCAGAACCTCACCATTCATTTTATAGAGAATCTTATATTAATCCCACATTAGAAAGGGTTTTCAACTTACAGTGAGTAAGCTGTGATGGGCCTTTAAAGTCTAGCCATTTATCTGACACCAGCAAATGAAGATACTAGCATTAGAAACTTCTGCAGTTTAAGTTTTCATTTAAAATATTACGTGTCTGTCTATTGCAAAAATAATTTACTGAATGTGAGCCAAATGCTAAGAGATGCAGAACTGTCTTCCAAAATCTCCTGACAATTTGCTCCAGTCTTTCTTAACTTTTACAGTACAGCAGAATGAGCTAACCATAGCCTGGCACCTTTCACTGCTGCTAGTTAGAATCTGGTTGGCAGAATGGACAGCAAGGATATGCACAAGAATTCCCTGAGCTTCACAATGCTGCCTTTTGGGAAAATGATTAAAAACAGCAGGGACAGGATGAGGATTAGACCCAGAAACGGATGGAGAAATAAGATAGTACAGCTAGGTACCTCAATTACATTAGCTTCATTCTCATGTCAAAAATGAAGGAAACCATTTTATAATTTTCTATATTGGAATAAAAGCATGATGATTTTGCGTACTGATACACTGGCATTAGAGCATTTAGCAGTGGCTTATTTCATTTAAATCAGTCCACAGTCAACTTAAGGTACAGTTACAAATACTTCTAAGCTGAAATAAGTGTCCCCACACAAATGTTATAGCATGTTGACATCACTTGCACCATTTAATTACATTGATTTTACATCTTAGGGCCTGGGGACTTGAAACAGTTATGGTAGTGTCAATAAGAGTGGGGATTTAAAGCACAAAAGTCATTCAAAAGTAATGGCCTGTATGCAAATTTTTGCTGTGAGACAAACAAAAGCTAAGTTGCAGCCACCGAGCCCTCAGTGAAAGAGAGTAAGCTACTGGGGGTTAGATTTCACTTACTATGTGGCAAGACCATGCACAGAGGCAGTTATGAGAGAATAGCTAATCTGCTATAAATCCTTGTTCTTCATTACTTTGTGGGAAGTTGTTTATGGGTAAAAATAGATGCTGCATTTGTGGTGCTTCTGATTGATAAGAGTCAAAACCTGGAAGAGTCATAGCAAACTGAGGGTAAAAACAGACATCAGGTTTATCCCAGGTCTGATTGTCCGGGGGTTTAACTTGCATCAAAGCAAGTGTAAGAGAATCATTTACACATGCAGTTTGACCGGCAGTTAGGTCAAATTAATTGCTATTGTCCCAAGAAAAAGTGTTAATCTTGGATTAGAAATGGATGTTGCCAACTGATGCAGATCAGCTGTCCCAGGATGTGTCCCAGCACAGTGGATCTGTTTCAGTGACTGAAAGTGCCTATTGTCTCACCAACTGATGCTGCTAAACCTTGAATGGTTTAGCCTGTCAGTTTATTCTTCCTCACTCCAAGGACACTGTGAAAGGCCTGTCTCTTGGGCATATTTCCAATTAAACTATAGAAAATACTAGAAGTTATATTTCTATTGACGCTAATGACAGTTTTTACTGCTGACTTCAGTGGCAGCTGAGTTAGGCCAAGGCCATTTATATGAGGTTCTCAACCCAATCATGCAAGAAGAAATATATAACCTTAACAGGTTCATTCCAAATTTAAGTTTTATGACAATGTTTTAATATCAAAGAATCAGTAAAACATTAGAGAGGTATTGACATAATAGAACATACTTTAATTGCTAAGGTCTTTTCAAAGGCAGCAATTTTCTCTGATTTTTCCTCTATAAAGTCTTGCAAGGAGTCCTTTTCGCTATCCAACTGCGCAATAGTTTCTTTGAGAACGTAGATTTCATCTTGTTTAGCAACATTTTGTTTGGAATAGTTATCTGGACACAACCAAAAAGGTCTCATTGTTATTAACTGTGTTCTGGCTGATATACTTCTAAAGATAATTCTATGTTAAATTATGTAAGAAGCAGAGCCAGTGGGGAAAATGAAGGAAATGCTTACCTTGTGGTAGCATACTTGCACCTATACTGTTTAACTTCTACATCAAGGATCAACCAATTCACCTGGGCACGAGAAGTTTTATTTATGCAGATATTTGTGCGCTGCTGCCCAAGCTAAGAACTTCACTCAGGCCAAGGCCACATTGGCACCACTACTTCAACTGGCTGTCAGACTATTACACCAAAAAGTCAACTATGTGCCAATCCAAATAAAACACAAGTTAGTCTTTCCTACCTTCAGAACTGAAATACTAGTAAATGGCTCAACCTTACCTGAAACGGAATAGCCTTCACCCACTGCCCAAATCCTACCTACCTTGGAAGGACACTAGACCTCATGCTTTCATATAAAGCACATACAGAAAAGGTGAAGTGCAAAGTTAGTTCCTGGAACAAGATTTCCCAACAAGTCCAAATGCGGGGGCCAACAATAGTGTTACAAACTACTGTGCTTGCACTTTGTTATTCGGCTGCTGATTATGCATGCCTAGTTTGCGGAAGATTGGCATATGCAAAGAACTAGACACCGTACTGAACAAAAGTTGCAGGTGCATTACGGGATGCCTTAAACAAGGGGCTGTCAACCAGTGGTGCATGTACCTTTGGGGGTACTTGGACTGGTCCTAAGGGATACGCACGGGTGGGCAGGGACAGGGCAGCAGCACCCCTCTGCAGGGCAGGGAAGCTCGCACGTGGAACCTGCTGCTGCTACACACCAGCCCAGTGAACTTCCCCGCCCTGCAGAGAGGAGCTGCTGCCCTCACCCCAGACTTGTGAGCTCCCCACCCTCCCCTCAAGCCCTGGTCCTAGGAGGCGACGGTGCTCTGTCCCTGCCTCCCTGCTTTGTGCCTGGCCACCTCCCACCCCTACTTGACATTTGGCCTCATGCTAACCACCACCACCCCCCCCAGCTCAGTGTTTGGCCATGTGCTACCCCCCACCACAATATAATATAAAACAAACCCCTACATAAAGCATATCTACTATTTGAGAAGCAAACAATTTTCTAATTGTTACAGTTTTATGAAAAATTATCAGAAAGTACTGGTATTAAGAAATAGCTCATGAAATATTTCCCCCCACATAAATAATAATGAATGTCCACATGTACAGTAGTGCTGAAGTGATGCTGCAGCCAGGATGATTCAAATAATGTTTGGGACAGACTTTTCAGGTGTCCTGAGAATAAAAAATAACCTCATTCAAAAGGTTGTCTCAGTATATCTCAACCATGCAGCTGGTCCAATGAAAGATGCCTCCAGCAGAAATCCTTGTCTTTCACATATGTATATATAGACTTTACACGCAACCAAACTATATTAAAAAGAACATTGTTAAAAGGTGTAAAGCTGAGCATTTAAAAAATTAGGAAATGTCAGAATGACTGTTATCTGTGCAATCTTAATTTGGCCTCCTTGTGAACATGCATTTGGAAAGTCTTTACTTCCATGATTACTACAAACCACAGTCTTATTCTGTGCAGAAAATAGACTACATTCACCTAATGAGCAGCTGCTTTGTATTCTCCAGACAGTGGCCTGAACCTCATTTGCTGCACACTATTCAAGTCTTGCTTGAAAGACAAAAAGCTGTTCCTCACAGCCTTGTCTTTGTTGTTCATCATCACAATATCCAAGTGCTTCACAAATGTTAGTGAACTTTAGTTTTGCACCAGTGCTATCATTGTTGCTATTTTGCAGAAGGAGAAAAATTAAGATATATCTAGGATACCCCTAATTTTTAGGGTGTATCATATATCATTTCATATGTTCAAAACAAAGCACAGCTCTTATTGACTTCATTTGCAGGCAAAGTACTGGCTGCATGCAGAAGTAAAAAAACCCCCAAAATGGAATCAGCTTCAACTAGAAGTGTCAAAAAGCCCCACTGAAGCATCTGTTCTATACAGACACTGCAGAGCCAGCTCAAAATAATGTGTGCTCAACACTTCTGCTAGTAAGACCCTAACATTTCATATCAGGCACCCAGAAAATGAAGAAAAAACGTTTAGCGATCACATGAGACATTTGGTTGAAGTGATTTGTCTCGATTCATACAAGAACTTTGTATCTTACAGCTGGGGTGAAGCTAGAATCCAGTTCCCCAGAGAGCCATTCATCTGCTTTAACCACGAACATCCCTTCACTTGCAGTTCCCTGCCCCATTAACTGTACATCTTTCAACTTCTGCAACAAACGAGGCTGAGGTACTAGAGCAGTGGTCTCCAACCTTTTTAAGTGGGAGATCACTTTTTGAATAAAAAAGCAACCAAAGATCTACCATGTGCCCCACCCCCTCCCCACAGGTCAGTTTAGGCGGGGGGGGGACCCCCCTCCCCACAGGTCAGTCTAGGCAGAAAGGGGGGGGCAGATCTAGGCAGAGTGAGAAAAGATTATTGGGGGGGTGCACCCCCACCACAGCAGGTAAGTCTGTGATGGAAGGAGCAGGGGGAGGGGCTAAGGGCTGTGGTGGGGGGCAGGGAAGATCAAGGCCCCAGCCATTAGGGAAGGAGCAGGGCACAGGCAGGAACAGGGGCTGCAGTGAGTGGGGCCCTCGCTGGGCCGGATGGTGGGAAAAAAGGAGGCCCAGGGGCCACATGTTCCCCAGGCCTCCACTTGTCCCCCACTTCCCCCAGTCCCTGCTCCTATCTCCCTCCCTCACTGCTGAGGCCTTGATCTGCCCACCCCCCTGGCAGTGAGAGAGGGAGCAGGGCTGGAACAGGAGCAGGCTCTGCACAGGCTAGGCACAGGGCGCATGCAGCCTGGGAGGGCACGGGGGGCATGTGCCCCCAGATCTGCACGCTGGCCGGGCTGGCTGAGGCCATGGCAGCAGTGGGCTCTTCCTGGGGGGGCGTTATCTTAGCTGTGCTGCAAGCCTGGGCCTCTTTGTGATGCAAGCCCCAGCTGTGCTGTGTGACGGACAAAAGACACCACTACCGAGCACCGCTGCTGTCCCACTGCTGCTTTATTGCTCTGAGCTGCCAGTCCCGAGCTAGGGGCGGTTTGTGTCAGCCGCGCGGCGTCAGAGGCAGGACTGGACCAGGACAGCTGCCTGGGAGTAGCAGATTGGTCCCTGCAGCAGCAGCACTGGGAGAGCAGGTTGGGTGGGCTATGGCGAATTTTCGGGTGCCTGCAGCACCCCCCGTAGCCCCATTCCCAGGGCCCCCCCACGCCCCAAGCCCCACTTCAGCTAGCCCAGGAGCACCTCAATGTCACATGTCTCCCACCGCTGGGCTGAGCCTCGTCCCCTGCCCACTGCAGCAGGGCTCTGGGCACGAAGTCCAGCACGCAGGGACAGCTGCCTTGCCCTGTACACAGATCAGGGGTGGGGGACCATGCTCCTGGGGGCCTCTGCTGGAGTGCATGCAGCAGTGGGAGCCCCCCTGCACACATGAACGAGCTGCCCAGACTCCGACCCTCCTGCAGCCTGGCTAGAGCCCCACTCACCCAGTAGCAGGGGGCACGGAGAGGGATCATCCCACTCACCTGGCTGGGCTTGGCAGCAGGAGGCAACTCAGCCCAGCTATGTGGGTCCTGCCAGTCCTACCTCCCAGACTGCGTCCTGGCTGCTCTCAATTGTGGAGCCTCTGACAGTCAGTCAACCTCAGTCTAGGGGAGCTAGCCCCCTCAGACCGAGATAAACTGTCAGGGGCTCCCCAACTGACCAGCTGGTGACCACTGTACTAGAGACACAACCTTCTTCTCTATACAAAACTGGTACCTCTCCTAACAGAGTCAACGCCGTATAAAGAATGAGGCAGAGATCCTGCAATAAAAATAACATGATCTTGTGGCTATGTCATAATGGAAAAGCACAGAGGGACCAAATTACGGTACCATGATTATTCTTAATTTTGGCATTTCCTAACTTTTAAGTTTTCCCTTTTGCAAGCTTAATAATATTCTTTTTATGTAGCACATGGGGAAAAAACAAACAGAAGTTACACCCAACACCAGAGGGACACAGGAAACCTAGCCAGTTTCACAGGATTCATTCTACAAGAAGTGAGGAAATGAAAACAGTAACTCTTATACAACCACTATTTTTAATGATTTTATTTAAAAAAATTGTGCATGTTACTTACCATTTTTTTCCTCCAAACGCATAATTTTTTCCTGAGTAAGCTGTAATTCATATTTTTTCTTAGCAAGGTGTTGCTGAGTCTCTGAAAGGCTTTGTTCTGTCTTTTCATTCAATAAGCTGAAGAAGCAGTAAGGGGAAGAACTTAAACAAACATTCACATATGACTTTTCTCTAACTCTGAAATGTCACTAGAAGTGCAAAAGATAAGTAAATCAATATTCCCCTAGATACTGTAAATTATTTTGAGTATTTCACCAAAATATATTATAATCTTTAGATACTACAGCCTGTTATTCCTATAAGAATCACGTAAAAATAAATGGGTTTGAACAGGATAAATAGCTTAAAGGATTAGTAGAAGATTAAAATGTTTTTAGCAGCTCCAGGTTCTGCTCCATGGATATCTAAGACTGAAATGGTCAAGCTGCCAAAAATGACTGAGGTGAAATGCTAGACCTATATAATAAAGCATATACCTGTGTATACTTTTCTAGTAACTGAAAAAAAACTATTAATACTTAATGGGACATAAAACAAGAATAACTTTATCTTGAGTGTTGCAATTCATTTTAAAGTACACAGATTGTTGATGGTGCTAATGAAGCTGAGAGTCTATTATTAAGAAGCAGTAATTTAGAATAGGATTTCTCAAATATTTCCATATAGAGCACTTAAGAAAGATAGTACTAGGCATGTCTATACATGCATTAATACACTTTAGTTAATGCACATTAAATCTAGTACCTCCATTGTGAGGTACTAGGAAACTGCATTAGTCTATCTTAATGCACGTCAACTAAAGAAAACAGTTTTTTAGTGATTAAAATAGGCTATGTGCATTAAAACACACATGTAGATGTGCCCAGTATTCTAAGCTAGCCTCTCTACCCCCACGTTTTACAATTGTGTAATTAGTTCCCTTGTCCCCTTGTCATTCACAGTCCTAATTGTAATAACATAATACTCCTGTAACAACTACAGTGATCACTTGTCAGAAAAAGTAGTACGAGGAAGATATTTTATTCTGAACTATGTTTAAGGACAAGGTAGTGAGTTTTTTGTTCTTTTGGGGAAAAAACCCCCACAATATCTTAATTTCCTATCTTCTCTCTCTCCTGAATATGTTTCTGTGTCATGGTCCTCTTCCTCTCCAGTCCTACAGAGATGAATCCTCTGTATATGTTTCTCTGCTGTTTGAACTGCAACAGATTCTCCTCTAGGCTCTTCCTCCCTGCACATGCTACTACCTAGAACTAACTTACTTCCTTCTACCTAAAGTCTTCCCTTAGGTCTTGAAGTGGTTCCTGGTAGTGGATAGGAGCTTTAGTCCTGCTGCTGGCTCTAGTTTCTGGCTGCTGACAGACATTCATTTAAAGCCACAATGGGATCTGAACCCAACAATTGCACTTCTGATGCATGATCTTGAGATCACAATTCTGCCCTGCCTGTACTTATCAGTGTAGTGGAAGATTGGTATCATAATCCCAGGCTCCCCCTCCACCAGCAAGTTGGAAACTGGATGCCCCAAATTAGCCAATTGCTGGCTTGCTCCGGACCTCCAGGGCTGAAACCGGCTTCTGAGTGATCCCTAGAGCCAGCCAATGATCAGCTCATCATCAGACAGATCAGGACTGCACTGGGGTTCTAACTGGCCCTGGTGTGATACTCGAAGCCGGCTGACAACTGGCTCCAAGATCACACTGGGACTTGAAGTGGTCCTGGTGTATTCCTGGGATTGTCAGCTGATTGTCAGTCAGTAGAGACTGCACTGGGGCCAGCTGGAAACCAGAGTACAGTCCTAATCCTATCACACGTTCAATTTTAAGTGTGATGGAAGCCAACAACAATATTACAAACCATGCGGCTGGTTTCCCTTTTTTGTGGCACCATTAATTGCTTGAATGTGTGGCCAGGTTAATATTTAAGACACAGTTAACAGGCTAATCACATCTTAAGTGTAAAATGTGTTTCAATTTATAAGGACAAAAAGGACATATCTAAAAGAAGTTAAAAGCTAAAATAAAAGAGAAATAAAAGAAAAAATTGCCTGCCTATGGCACAACCCCCCACCTAAACTCAATCTCTATCAAGTTTCACTTTTTCCAAGACCCAGAGAAAACAGACAGGCTGCCTAAACTCCTGCCTATGGCGCAACCCCCCACCTAAACTCAATCTCTATCAAGTTTCACTTTTTCCAAGACCCAGAGAAAACAGACAGGCTTTTAAAACAAAGTAAATAATGGGATAGGGTGGAAAAGGAGAGTAAACCTCAATAGTGAGGGCCTCTTACAAGAACATTCTCTCACCAGCTCCCCCTTCCTTTGACTTAATAGAATAGTTATGAATATATATTTATAATAAATAGTGAATAGATTTATTTTTAATTGCAATCATTTTAATTAATATATATTTTTCTACCTGAGTGAAGCACATTCTGCTTTTTGTCTACTGAGCTCACTTTCTGAATCCAGTGCCCTTCTTGCCAATATTTTCATCTCCATTTCTACAGAATCTATGGTATCTTTCATCAGTGCCATCTTGGATATGTGTTCCAAACGTTCACTGTCAAGCTATAAAAGTAAAATGGCCAGGCATTAAGGATTGTAAAAAGCTGTCTTGTATGAAGTGGAGGTTTTTATTTGTTCAAATTCTACTCTTGAATTTTACCGTAAGTTTTTCACTGAACGGCAGAGTTTCATAGTAACATCTGTAAAGACTTTGAACAAGTAAAGCCCTGTTTTCAGCTGACTTTAGTGAGCTTTGAACAACTGAACTGTGGGTCTCATTCCTGAGGTACATATACATATATGACATAATAGAGCATTCAAAAAATCCATCCAATTTATCTGAGACCATAGAAGGACATGCACATTACTGAGTCATGTCTTTCATGTATTAGGGCACTGTGTTAGAGGAAGTCTTGGTTTGGCATGACCCTCCCATAGAAGCAACTTGATGCTTTAACACAAATAAAAGTCACATTGTGGTAGGATATAACACAAGGTCCTGTCTCATAATGGTGATAAGGAGGGAGAATCACAGCATAAATACTAGCTTTCTCCTTAGCCACACAAAAACATATGCAAACTATTCAAAGACCTTACTGTGAAACAACCCCTTATGCTACACTTGGGCACCTATACATGTGCAGCAAGGTTGCTCCAACTTTGTCAGAGCAAACTCGATTAATCAAGTCTGATGGATAGTGGTAATAATCGCCACACCCCAGCAGACTCCAGCATCGTGCGTATCAGCATCTCTGTGCTGAAAAATGAAAGCGGGGGTGCTTTAATTAAAGTTCATTCAACAAGCTTTAGTTAAAGTGCTCCTGTTACCATTTTTTAGCACAGTGATGCTGATACACATGCTGCTTCATGCTCCAGGTGCTTTAATTAGAGAGGAAGCCCTGGCATCTGAATGTAGCTTTGGGGGGGTGGGGGGCAGCAGAGAATCAAGTGAGTTTGAAACCTCTGCTCTATAAAAAGTCTCTCTTTAAGAGAGATTCTTCATCTCATTCTTTCTCCATCTCATTCACTATTGCTCCAATATTGAACTCTAAAGTAAAAATTCTCCATCTCATTCTTTCTCCTAATTTACTATTGCTCTAATATTGAATTCAAAAGTACTCTGGTCAATGGTCAGACTACTGGAGAGCAAACTGATAGTTGCTGACTGTACAAAGGCCTTTCTCAACATTAAAATGTAAAGAAGTGAATAGTGAAATACCATTGTTTATGAAGCAAACTCAAGAAAGCAAACTGTGTTTCTGAAACAAGTGGATTCCCCCAAAATACTACGAAATACAAGTTTGAATGCATCATGTAAGTAATACTTATTTACTGGCATATTAAGATCTCAACACTTCGAGAGTAATTCACACCTCTGTTTTTTTTCTTAACATAGATACACCCTAGTTTTTCTTTCAAATACTATAATACCCAAAATGATATATGTAAGATTTCTGTTTCCTTTATTACTATTTTTCTATTAAAGATTAAAGGCTCAATTCTGCAAGCATATATACTAGTCGAGGAGTTGCTAACTTACAGCATGGGTGCCACAAGTGGCATGGGCAGCCTGTGTGCATGGAATATGACAGACTGGGGAGGGGTCAGGCAGCACAGGGACAGATAGGGCAGAAAGCAGAAAGCAGAGCAGCAGATCAGGCAGGGAGCCAGCATTCCCTCTAAGCTGTGTGGTGTGCACAGCCACACAGGTGCACTGCAGGGAGCACAAGGAAAAGCAAAAGGCAGACCAGCAGCTTAGTCAGGGAGCACAGGCAGGGAGCAGAAACCTGAGCAGCAGATCAGGTAAGGGAAAGGGCGGCACTCGGTGAGGGTACACAGCTACTTTGTGGCAAAAAGGCTAGCCTCCATTCCATGAGTTATTTTGGGTGCTATAGACATGCAGGGAGGCTGCTCCTATGCACTGTAATTACAGTACGTTGGAGCAGACTCGATTAATGTACTAATTAACGCGCTCCAGTAGCCTCCTCCGCGTATCAAAGTCCCTGAACTTCAAAATGGCAGTAGGGGTGCTTTAACTAAGGCTTGCTTGATGAGCTTTAGTTAAAGTAGACCTGCTGCAATTTTGAAGCACAGAGAAGCTGATATACAAGACACTGCTCTCCGAACAACTTTAAATAAAGTGCCCCACCCCCAACACATGTAAAAACATCCACTAGTTACAGAGAGGTAAGTGTGACTATTCAGGAAAACACAGTTACTCAAAAATACCTTTGGAAGATCAGACCCGAAAAATATACCTTAAAACCTTTAATCACAAACGCCTTATCTTTATTATATTATTAATAATTTTATATGTAAATGAGTAATATTTTTCCTTACCTTTTGAACTGTTGTTTCTAGCTCCTCAATTCTCTGCTCCAGGTGAGCCTTCTCATTAAAAGCAGTCTCCTGAGCAATCTGTTCCAGACAACAACAAATACATACAAAAATGTTAAAACTAATTCAGTTTTTATGATTCAACCAGAAATGTATTAGACAGAAACCACACAGCAAGCTAAGTTAAATTACTGGGTAACATAACTGAGTAACATAAATTCTATAACAAAGTTGGATAAAAATCAAACCTTTATCCTCTCCCTGAGGCTATCACGTTCTGTGGTCATCCTTCGGAAGTCAGAAAGAGCTGTATCCCTTTCTGTCTCCAGACGTCTTAAGATAGCTTGAGCTGTCATGGTAGTTTTACAAGTCTTGGGGGATTTCATAACTTCTCGCCGAAGTCTAGATATTTCTTCTTGTGCCTGTTTTTAAAAAAAAATGTATTGGAAATGTGCAAAAGGTAATGTAAAAACTTACTATCTGCATGTGTTACAAGTAGGGACAGTGGAAAAATTTCTATTAGAAAAATGGAAAAATGACTTCATAGATTTCATAGATTTTTTTAATAGATTTTTAGGGTTGGAAAGGACCTCAGTAGACCATTGAGTCTGGCCCCCGGCCCTGGGCAGGAAAGAGTGCTAGGGTCAGATGACCCCAGCCAGGTGTTTGTTGAGTATCCTCTTAAAGACCTCCAAGGAAGGGGAGAGCACCACCTCCCTTGGAAGCCCATTCCAGACTCTGGTAACCTTTACTGTAAATAAGTTCTGCCTAATGTCCACTCTAAATCTACCCTCTGTCAGTTTGTGGCCGTTGTTTCTAGTTACTCCAAGGGGTGCCTTGGTAAACAGAGTATCTCCTATACCTTGCTGACGCCCCTAATGAATTTGTAGCTGGCCACCAGATCCCCTCTCAGCCTTCTCTTATGGAGGCTGAAGAGATCCAGGTCCCTCTCTTTGTAGGACCTTTCCTGTAGGCCCCTAACCATACAAGTGGCCCTCCTCTGGCCGCTCTCCAGATTATCTACATCCCTCCTGAAGTGCGGTGCCCAAAACTGAAGGCAATACTCCAACTGCAGCCTTACCAATGCCACATAGGGGGGAAGTATCACCTCTTTAGACCTGTTTGTGATGCACCTGTTAATGCATGATAGAGTGCAGTTAGCTCTACTGATCACTTTGTCACATTGTCAACTCATGTTTATCTTTGAGTCAGCTATGACTCCGAAATCCCTTTCTGCTGCTATGCTGCACAGAAAGTAATTTCCTAATCTCTGTGTGTGTTGGTGACTCCTTCTCCCCAGATGCAGTACTCTGCACTTATCTTTGTTAAACTGCATCTTATTTTGTTCTGTCTGCTTTTCCAGCCTGTTCAAATCTGCCTGAATCTGTTCCTTGCCCTCCAGCGTGTCTATTTGCCCCATAATTTGGTGTCATCTGCAAATTTGGACAGTGTGCTCACCACCGTCTTCTCACTAAGCGATTATTTTTGTAAAAATCTCTCTACTTTCTAAGGAAAATTTTTAATCTTTACTTTCTAAGGAAAATTTTTTTTTTTTAAGAAAAAAAGCCCTTGAAAGTTTCATGATGTACATTCTCCCCTCATCAAGAGGAGAAACTATAGTGAAAATAGGAGATGTAATAAGGGAGAAATTAACCATGAGAAATCCAAATTACAACTTAGACTAGGTATTACAGTAGCATTTCTTCTAAACCAAACCAGCTTAATTTCTGGCTGACATATTTTATTTTTCTATTTTTCACCAAAAATTCAATTTTTTCTTCAGACCTAATGGCCAGAACAAGACATGCAGTTAGTCAGATAAATGCACCTCAGAAATCTTGTGGGTGATGAGGTCATTTTTTCTATGAGTCTTTCCCATGATTTTGGGGTCTATTTGTTGCCGCCTGCCCTTTCTGTTACATGCATCAGGGTGTTTTTAAACCTCCCTCAGAGGCGCTGTAGCCAACTGGGTTATGTTAATGCTCCTGCTGGGACCAAACCCAGAGGTTCCTGACTAGGGGGTCTTGGTCTGACCCTGAGCAGAGAGACAAACGATTGCCATATTTGGGTCAAGAAGGAATTTTACCCTGTGGTCAAACTGGCATGAACTGTGAGGGGTTTTGCCTTCTCCTGTAGTGGGGGGCATGGCCCTCTACCTAAGATCTCTCAAGTATACATTAAAAGCCTTTTCTAGAAACAGGACATTGGCTGCCATGGTTCCTCTGCTTTACCTGCCCACAGATTAAGGTGTTATGTCTTGTGTTGTGTCAGGGATGATGATAGTCTTAAGAAGAATTTAGATTATGGATTGTATAGGATGTTTTGGACAGGGATGATCCTGCCTCAGGCAGGGAGTTGGACTAGATGAACTCTGGAGGTACCTTACAGCCCTACTTACGTTTTCTCTGATAATCTCAAAGCATGGGTGTATGCATTCAGAAAAGCAACCCTATTAAGGATAGCAGTTAATGGAAAACAACTGCTTCAATACTATCCTGAAAAGCAGGGGCTTAAATCACAGCAGTCTTCCTAAAGCATGGGGGGAAAAGAAATAAAAATTGTTTTTCACAAAAGATATTCAGGCTTTCTTTGCACAAAAGTAAATAAATAAGATTACCTGATCATAAAGATTGACAAATTTATCTCTCTCAGCTGTTAAAACCTTGAGGTTACCCAGAATTTCTGACAAGTGGCGCTCATATTTTTCAAGCATTGCCTTAAGTTCTTCACGTTCTCTCAAGAGTTTCAGGACGTCTGGATCTGAATTTATGCCCTTAAAAATAACATAATAAATTATTTATTTAAAATTAAAAAAAAAAGTATACATTTCTCAATATTTCTGGTCTTGAAATTTATACACATCTAACATAAAAAATGCAGGAAGCCTAGAATTGAACATCTCCAGTCAAGATTATATGTATACATTTTAATCAATGTTATTTACTAGATATGAACATTAAATGGAGATTGGAAGTCTTTATAACATGTGTCTCCTGTCAATTAGTCACCTAGCAATCTGTCTCATTGTTTTCTAGGTATTTTATATAACGGACAAAGGAGTTTATTCAATTTATTTTTAATCGCAATTGCCTAGTTATCACAAAACTATTTACTTAAGCACCTTAGGAAGTATTCATATTTAATCATACACAACCTTAAAAGGCATTTAAGGAGATGTATATCCAGAATCACAGTGTGCTTAGCTACATGGGAACTGTCTCTTCCCCATCTACAGCACTCAGGCTGTCATTATATTAGAAAAAAAATCAGTAAGATTTCTGTTATCACTGACTGTAGATGTAGAACTAGGTTTTGTTTTAGGAAAATCAATATAAAATAAATGCTTTGATTCTGTGCTACAGTAAACCCCAAGCTTACCTGGATGGGTGAAGTACGTTTTGATGTGCTACCACAAGTAGGTTTGTGCTTAGGACTTGATGATCTATTTCGGAACATCTTCCTCACGTTCTCAGCTTCACTTTTATAATAATCTTTGCCCTCCTCTAATGTCTTGATAAAGGTATGAAGTCTTGAAGGAGACTCCCCTTGTTTTTTACCAGATTCAGTTTCTAAAATAATCTTTTACATTGCCAAATGGAAAAGGTGTTAACTGAAATATTTCATTTAAAAATACTGAATTTTATGAGACAAATGGATAAACTTATTCTTCAAAATTAAAGTGATATAGCTATTTCTTTTACGAGCTATTCATATTTATTATTCTGAGGTAATTGCTAGATATCTGTATTTTCACATTTTTTCAATATTATCCAAATATGATTATAATCTTCTAAGGTTGGTCCAATATGATGTTCAGTTATTCAGCTTTTCCTATGAACTGCTTTTTCTTTTTAAAAAGAATAGTGTATATTTAGAGAATAACTTAAGAGTGCTTCCACCTTAAAATGACTGTTTAAATATCCTGCTTCCAGGACTATTTCTAGATTTTACATTAAGAAGTCTTTGTATAAAATGCATAAACAATGTATTTTATCCAAAAGTTGGGTAGAGGAGCTGTAACCCAGAACTCTCTTTTCCTAAAAGTGCCTGAATTAGAAAGCCATAATGTTATGCTGCCTCTTGCTCCATGAATTTTGAATTCTTTTTGCAGCTTCAGCTTCATTGAGAAGGATGGACAATGCCCTCACACAGAACAGCCTATAGCTTGATGGTTAAGACGCTCTCTTAAGGGGTGGGTTTGAGCCTCAAAAGGTGGAGGAGGGATTGACTCAGCTCTTGTACTTTTTGATTTAATTTTCTAACCACTAGACAATTATTTTAAAGGTGAGCACCGCTGCTAACCACCAACTCCATCTGCTCTTCCCTTTCACCTTGTTCTAAAAAAACCACAAAAATCCCAGCAGTCACTAACCTTTTGTCAGGAAACCGCACTCTTAAGACATGCTCTTAGAATGCCTTCTTGACTGAGACCCTCCAAGACTCAGGTGGAGAAATGCCCAATTCCTGGATCCTAACTGGGCTTATGTGTAAGACAGGGCACCTCTGCCCTTTCAAAAGTGAGTCAATTATAGGCATGGGAAGAGATGCACCTTTTTAACTTAAAAAAATTTATTAAGAAACATTAAGAAAGAGTATATGTATCTCTAGAGTTAGGAGGCAGCTGAGTGGGAGTTGTGAAGATCACAATTTTGGGCTTAGGCCTCTGAATTCCATCAGTCTTTTTGTAGGCATCTAAGTCCTTTACTGGTTCTAGCCTTTAATGTCCATAATTCCAACTTGCAAAATGAAAGACACTAGGGGTGTGTCCTGACAAGTATGCGTGTGCAGTCTGCAGCACTGCAAGCTGCATGTAGTGCACACGCACATGTTCACTGCACTAATCTGAACGGGAAATCCCAGTGTATAAAAACACATGCTGCTAAAAAAAGCAGCATGGTAAACAAAGCAATATGTGCTGCCAGAAACAGACCCTGGCTGGCTAGAGACATCACTCTGGCTGATGGCCAGGTTCTGAGGGGCTGGCTCAGTGCCACTGCTGCCCCAGGATATGCCTCCCCCTTGGTAAGGTTGCTGGCAATTTGCCACGTGCTGGAGGGTGCATGCAGGGGCATGCCCTGGGACAAATAGCTGCAGCACAAGTATGTACTACTGCTATTTGTCTTGTGGGGAACACATGCCCCTGAACATATGTGCTCATCAGAAAGCACCCTAGAGGTGGAGACAGACATAACATTTGAACTGTTCCGAGAACGTCACTGATTCTGAACTGGCTCACATTTGTCCCTGGACAGAGGTGTCCACACGTACACCGTTAAGAGTCCTATTTAAACCTCCACTTCACTGCTACCAAAATGCCACCAGGGGTGGTAGAGTACCCAGACCATCATGGTTTCCAGAAGCCAATGCCAGGAGTTTCCCCAAGATTCCCCTAGAGTGGGAGAAATGCCCATATTGGCTGAACCACTGAGAAAGAAGATGACACCACTGTCAGCAACTGAAATGCTCTGTTCCTTCTTCTCAAAACATTTAAAAGTTCAAAAGACTGATGGGGTTTAATAAAGAAGACTGTTTAAAAAATCTGTGTGGTTCACTGGGGGTGCATGGGTGTGTTTACGGAGGGAATAGCTTGGCCTTCATTACAGAAAACGGATCCTACTCTGTGGGGTCCCAGACTCATATGGGGCAGGAGCATGGGGACTGATGAAAGGCTTGCTAGGTGCTGTGACTTCCTCCTTATGCATCCAGGGAGGAAGGGGGATCTGGGTGCTCCCAGGGCCCCTGGAAGAATTCTACGGCTTTTCAAACCTGCCCTTAAAGGTATTTAATCAGTTCAACCTTCCTACTATAGAACCTGCAGCTACTGGATCCCAAGCTCACTTGGGGCAGGGAGGTGAGAATGGAGTGGTTGTTGGGTGCTGGGAAGCTGTGTGACCCTTGCATGTGGTATCCAGGGATCTGGGTGTTCTGGGAGCTCCCCGAGATCTCTGCTTTTCTGCTTTTGCAAGACTAGCACTGGAAGGCATTTTGTCAATTGAACTTTCTTACACAGACCCTTCCCTGTGGTCCCAGGATCACTTGGGTAAGGGAATGACTGGAGAGGTTGCCAGGTGTTGGGAATAGGTGGTGAGGAACAGGCATGTGGAAGGGTCCTGTATGGAAGTAAATTGACAAAATGATTTCCAGCGCAGGCAAAGAAGATGATATTCTTGGGGCTCCTGAAGCATGTAGCTGCCCAGGCACCACAAGCATAGGTCATTCAGACTCCCCAGCACCTGGTAACCCCTCAACTCACACCCCCTACTCCAAATGAGCCTGGGATCCACAGCACAGGGTCCATTCAGAGAACTGAAATTGACAGTATGTTTTCCAGAGCAGGCAAAAAAAAACTGGAGATCTTGTGGGAGTCCCAGAACATGTAGTCCCCTAGGCACCACAATCAGGGTCACTCAGCTCCCCTTAGCACCTGGCAACCCCCAACTCACTCCCTTGCCACAGGGTCCCTGCAGCGAAGTGAAACTGACAGTGTAAGTCTTGCTTAAAGTGAGAGAGATCTTGGGAAGCCCCTGGAGTACTCCCCACAACATGACAAGCAAGGGATCACACAGGCCCCAACCATCTGCCAACCCCCTGACACTCATCACAACTCCAAATGAACCTGGGATGCACAGCACAGAGTCCATGAAGGGAAGTAAAGCTGACGAAATAGCTTTCAGGGGACAGAGGGTGAAAAACATCAGCATTCCTGGGGCTCCCCAAGGAACTATGAGCAGGGTTACACAGCCTCCTGCACCTGGCTACTCACCCCTGCCCCAAATGAAGCTGGGACTCCCACCCAGGTCTTTTGCAGGAATTGAACCTAACACGGAGGCTTTCTGCTTCCCCACCCTTGCAAACTGTATTCTTTGTAGTCTGTAGAGCCCTGGCTGCATTCACAATAGTCCTTTGCCCTGGATGTATTTGGGGAGTATGGGGGGAGGGGGGGAGGAGCTGTGCAGTGTGGGACAGGACTGACCAGACACTAGGCATGAAATGCCCTGTTCACAGAGGACTAGGTTAAAATAGTACTCAGTTTTTCTGGTGTGCTTTTAAAACGTTCCAGAAATTGAAACCAGCCTCAAGTGGTGTACACATCTAGATTCTTGGGTTTTCAAATGTATTTAAAATGTTCTAGATGTACACATCACAAGCTTGCATTGATAGGCAGTGGCATCAAACATTCCATGCAACTACGTGTGGGCTACATCCCAGTTTCCATGGTGCTCTAAGCAGACAACTTAGCCCACCTGAAACGAGAGCTATGCAATGACTATACTGTTTCTGGTTCAGGAGGCAGAAGGTGTGGATCCCTGAAGAGTAGTTGAGGATGCCATTTGTCTAGCAAGATAAGCTTGCAGTGTGGATATGATCTAATCCTACAGTGACCTGCCAGGGCACAGTAGTCCTCCCACAGTGAGCTCATCGCAGGACTGAGGCATAAGAACCACTGTAATATCCAAATACATAAACAGCAAAAAATGGAATCTTGTGAAAACTCTTAATATTGCTGTGTGGTAGGAGTCCTATGTGGTCTTAACAACTGCAAACTTTTATTTCCCAATGCAAGATTCCATAAATTAGTAATTTACTGTAGAAGCAGGTTAATGCATCCAATCACTAACCCAGAGTTTATTTTGATAAAATGTTTATCATAATTTTATGTAAAATTGTATACATGTCCAAACAACATTATATTATTAATATATGGGGAAGGTGTAAAATTATTTAAAGGATAAGATATTGGTTTTCTATGTTTCTTAGAAGTATTCACAGCAGTCAAGTAATATAGATCGTGCAGAAGAGTTAATATGACTCTCAAAAATAAAGACACTCAAAATAAACTGCAAGATATTCTGATTTGTCTAGAGACTTAAAAAATTAGATATCCATTTCAGTGCATATATATTTCATAATTTTTATGTTTTGTGGAATAGTAAAAAGAAAGGCAAATTAAATTCACTCATTCACAGAAAAACGATCAAATGTAACTGAATTAAGAGATAAGGCTTTACCCCAAACCAACTGATATGCGATAACTATTTATGAGTGCAATAAGTGAAAGTTAGACTGTAGCAGCTTACCCTTCAATGAAATACAGTTAAACTGCCCCTAACTTTCAGAGTGCTGGCAGATGTGCAGCTCCCCGCTGTAATTCATGGCGCTTTGCAGGAAGTGTCATGAGTTACACGTTCCCACCGACCCAACAAATGTTTGCTGTTGGGTCCAGGCAGTTGGGGGATTGAGCTCCATTTTGGAACAGCTGCATGTGTGCAGTCACTTTCCCCTAGGCCCTGCCCCCCCGCCTCAGCTCCGGTGCTGTCTTCATAATCGGAAGTGGGGAAGGAAGGGGAGGGAGCTCAGTCTGGGCTTTGCCCAGGCTGTGCTGGAGGATGGAGCAGGTGGATTACCCCTCCCCCCTCACCGGAAGGGGGCTGGACAAACCCCAGACAAAACTCCCTCACCTCCCGTCTCCCCCTCCCATTCTGAAGACAGCACCAGCAGAGGGGCTGAGCTTTATCACCGCAGGCCTGCTCCTGGCACATGCTAACAGAAGTTAATGAAGGCACTGTGGAGCGCTTTCACCTGAACCCTCATGTAATGGGGGCTCAGATTATCATGCAGTTGAGCACTTTTAAAGTGCTCTGCAGCCATGCACTTCTGTTAGGGCACAGCTGTAGAGCACTTCAAAGGGGCTGATTATACAAGAAAACGTAACTTCTGTCTGTGCCCTCACTAGCTGCCTGGAAACTGCATAGACACCAACATTTACTAGACACTTTCTTGGAAATAAGTCCCTGCTCCTGTTACCTCATTTTAATTTGACTAATTATCCCATTGGAATAGCATTAAATATACTTTGATTTCATAACTACAAAAATACTAAGAACATATATTTAGCTTACAGAATTGAGTATTTCCACTGTATGTTCCAACTTTCTGATATTATTTTGCTGTTGTCGAATTTGAATCTAAAATAAAACATGAGAAAAGTGCAATGGTAACTATTCAACAGAAAATACAGCATGTTTTGCCCAGTGTTTCTGCTCTTTTTAAGCTGTTTGAACATGTCTTCTAGATTAGCTGGACTGGAGACACACTGTTTAACAAGAAACTTCCATTAAAGAATGAACTAGAATGCAGAGGTCTAAATAATAAGAATTTTGCCTGAGTAAGTCATCAATAGAGCAAGAAAAGCATCAATGTCTGTTGCAGTGAGCAAAAAGAAAGTGCAAAATCCCTTTCACCAGATTTGCATTCCCAAGAAACTTGTTGAAATGGGGCTAGTTAAATGTAGGGTTTCCCATAAGATTCCTCTACCCTTGCTCTACAGCTGACAGGGACACCAAAGTACAATACTGTCCACAGTGTTATAAATTCAAGTTGTTGCACATGGACCAAAAAAGGCTGAAGACTGGAATAAGGAGTTCAGCAAGTTTTGTTTTTGTTTTGAAACCAGACACACAGCCCAGCTACCTTTCCTCTGAGCAGTACTTACATATTAAGCATCTATACACAATTTTCGTAATGGTAAAATCAAAAGCCATTTTCACTGGAATAATCAAAACATGTTTCCTCTATTGCAACTCCTATAATTTTATCCCTCAGCTTTTTTGGCGCTAGGGTGATTTAAAAGAAAAAATGGCAAGAATGTATGCTCCCTTATCTAGCATATGCCGTAAAATGTTGTTTATTCCAGCAATTTTCAATTGAAATATCATGACAAGTTTGTCTCTGTGACAAGAGTACCTCTACTAATCTATCAGTGACTCCGCCCTCCTGTTATGGGCCAACCGCCTACCTTCTCGCCTGCCATGCCTTGATCTTGATTAATTAATGGATGTTAATTAGCAGGAGGCTGCCCATTTTATTTTGCCCTGGTGCCAGGGAGTGCTATCTGCGGCTCCTTTTCCTCCCCTACACCGCAGCCCAAGCTTCGCAGAGGATACTGATGTGGTTTGATCTGGACCTTGTTGTAATTTGGCCCTCCCCTTGTCTTTCCTGGGCTTTCCACCACCCTGTCTCACTCTTTCTCGTTCCGCGCCTTCCTGGCACTCCACTGCCCTCCTCACTCTAGGGCTTCTCGCTGCCTCCTCACTCTGGGGCTGGGGCCAGTGCACCCCAAAATGCTGCACCCTCTCTGGTGCTGGGGTCCCCACGTCACTGGGGATCCCCTATGAGGCCTCCTCCAACCCCTAATAGCCTCACCCAAACCACCGGTCTTATAAAACTAGAAACAGAAAACTCACACCCCTGGGCTATAACATAAAATCTAAGCTGTCTAGCTAACCATCACTCAGTCCCTACCAGGGAATTCTCCACCCCATAACAGCAAACAGGAGCTGCTCGCGCCATCAGGCTTCTCCACTCTGCTTGCTCCAGCAGAGTTCCTCCTCCCTTGGCTGCTAGCAAAGAACTGCCCTCCTGGCCTCAGCCCTGGGGTTTATATGTGCCAGGCCCTGCCCCTTCCTGTCAGCTGACTCCCCAGTGGTTGCAATAGCAACCCACACCTGTGCCCCTGCTCTGAGAGTAGCAGGCACCTTAGTGTCCTGCTACAGTCTCCAACCTTGCAATCAGCTCAATACAGGCAGATTCTTATGTTCACAGAGTCCAACTGAAGCCAATGGCTCTTACTGTGTGTGGGTAAAGGGACCTCCTCATATGCTCTGAACGCAAGACTAGGACCTTTGCATATTTTGCAGTCCTAAAGTAAACTTTAAAATCTGAAGCTTTATTGAGTGATAAAGATATTTCTTGCCGAAATTTAACAGAACAGGTCAAATTATTTCATCTGATTTAGTAAAAGTTCCTTTTCTAGTTATGTTCCTGGGACAGATTGTCAACTTGCATGAATTCTCATAATTCAACTTAAGTAAATAAGGCATGACAATTTTCTCCAGCCCAAATCAGGAAGGATCTGGCCCTCTATATTTAATAAATTCAATGAGCTTCAGAAAACATGTGGTCTTCACACCTTCTATTTTTGGCATCTGCATTCATCTGAAACGCTATTCTCTCCTCAACTATGGAAATAGAAGATGCTAAATCTCAAAAAGTGGGATATAATTTATCCTTTTTTGGGATGGTGAAGCAGGGAGAAATCTTCTCACATTGCTCTGAAAAGACTGTTTTGTCTTTAACTGCAGAAATGCCAATTCCACATATTTCAGCCTCTATGATATCACTGCTCAAATTGATCTTGTCACTAAATGTGAACTGTCCTACCAGACAAGGTTGTAGGATTATCCCTAAAACATAAGATGACTGGCAGTCTACTCTTGGCCTTTCTTCCCAAATTTAAACATAACTCTTTTTCCTTGACTATTTAGTCTAACCCAGTGATTCCCAGCCAGGGAGTTATGGAACCCTGTTGCAACATTAGCACTCTTTGGCATACAAACCTCTACATGTGAGTCACAAGATAAACCCAGAAATTCCAAATATGAATCCACAATATCAAAAACATTCTGACCTGCTTGCTATTTCTGAGTTCTTTGCAACAAAAGAATTGCTCTATTATTTTTCCACAGTCAGAAAGCAAGAAAAAGCCAAGAGTTAGCATTTTTTGATGGGTACCCTGAATCTAACAAGGGGTTCCCCGAGACTAACAAGATTGAGACTTACTGATTTAACTCGTTACTAAGCATCTTTCTTAAGTGCTTTAAGAGTACAATGCACCAGCCATACTTGCCCTCTTCCCTTCATTATTTTTTTAAAGTTTTTTAATACATTATCTTTTAAATTAAAAAAATAAAATAAAATATACCTTCAAGCAGAAAGCAAGACTAGAACATTTCATCCCAAAAAATTAAGGGATAGCTCCTATTTCACTTTGCATGCCCGAGTGGCACTTACGCAGATAAATAACTATGGCTTTTAATCGAATCTGCTGGAGTGTACTAATTAGTGCACTCCAGCAGCCTCCATGTCATACGCATTCAACATGGCTGCATTTCAAAATGGCAGCGGGAGTACTTTATCTAAAGCTCATTCAACGAGCTTTAGTTTCATAGTTTCTAGGGTCGGAAGGGATCTGAGCAGATCATCTAGTCTGACCCCCTGCCATGGCAGGAAGAGCACTGTGGTCAAATGACCCCAGTAAGGTGGTCATCCAACCTTCTCTTAAAAACCCCCAGGTTTTTAAAGCGCCCCTACTGTCATTTTGAAGCGTGGGATGCTGAATACATGCGATGCTGGGGGCACTTTGATTAGAGCAGCTCTCAGATCTACTCTAAGTAAAACGGCTCCCCTCCACCCCAGAGCTCGTGTGAACCTCCTTACTGATTAGCAGGGATCCTGGTTTTCTCTGATAAAAAAATCCTCAATTTGGGGGGTTAAAAAAATACCCCCAAATCTACATTTTTCCATGATTAAAATGAAACACCACTAATACGCAGATATATATAGTGGTGTTTCATTTTAATCAGGGAAAAATGTGGATTTAGGGTTACTTTTTTAACCTCAAAATTGGGGATGTTTTATTATCAGAGGAAAAACAAGGACTAAGTCACTTTCCCAGGGTGCAGGAGACCTGGATTCTGGGGCTACTCCTCACCCAGGAGAAGCTTGAAACTGTATCTCCTATTTCCCAGAAAAATACTTCAATCATCAGGCCACAAGTCTGGTGATCCCACAGACCCTGCATGAGGCTCTCTCTTGGAGTTGGCTCATTAGGCAACAGAAACACGTTGCCAAAAGGAGGATGAAGCCTAGAGGTTGTGGCTCAGTGAAATGGATCCTTCCCTGGAAGGAAGGGACTCAACCTGGGCCCTTGTTTCCAATAGGGCCGAACACTATTTAGCCATTTTATCCACTTAGAAAGCAAGGTACAACGGACCAGCTTTAAGGTGAGGCTTGAAAAGAATTCATGGCAATGTCTAGCCTGTGTCCTTGTGATTAGAGCTCTTTGCAAGAAAGCAAATACAGGGTCAAATCCTCACTGGTTAGGAAGACTTAAAACTCAGTCTCTAAACAAGTGCCCTGACCACTAGGTTTCTAGGCTGAAAGGCAGGAGTTCCCCTTTCCATCATATAAAACCCACTAGGCATGTTGTTTGCCTGACAAATTCTGGGGACTTGTTCAACTCTATGCACAAATCTGGGCAATTCTGGTTTCCCTGGGTAGTGCTAGCAGGCTGGCATGAATACTGCTAACTTGTAAAATGCATCTAAATGTAAAAAACTGAAGTTATATTGCTACATACATACTATTTAGGCAAGTAAAGCACAATAAAATTTGGCCACAAAAGTTGTGAACTTACCAACTCCCTCTATAGTACACACTCTTTTTAGCACACAGTATTGATTCTGATCATTAAATACCTTTGCTTCCTCAAGTTCCTTGTCGGCAGTATTCAACACTAATTCTTTTTCTTTTTCCAGCTGTTCAGCCAATTTGTCAACTACTACCAGTTCTTTACAAAGATACTCATTCTTACTGGTCAGATTGTCCACCTGACTCTCCACATCCTGCTTGGTATCAAGCAGTTGCATAACATGTTGCTCTAATTCATAGTTTTCCTTCTTCAGTTCTTCAATCTAACGGGAACAGAAAAAAATACAAGTATTTTACTTCTCTTACTCTTAAAAGATTTACACAGTAAACACTTCACAACAGAAAAGTTTATTTACTTACATGAGTGCAATTACCTTATGCCTACAGTAGCTTAACTACAGTATTAACTCGATTCTAAGACAAAGGTGTCGCCCTCTGCCCCATTTGACATAGGGAAAAAAGCCTCTCATTTTAGAAGTGTATGTGGCAGGGAGGAGGAGTAACTGCTGTGGCTCAGGCTGCAGCCTCTACCCAGATTCAGGTCCATAGCCACAGCTGCTGTCTGTCTGTTCCCCCCTGCATCCCACCATCTCTCTCCTGCAGCATCTTCTACCCTTCTCCCCTCCACCCCCCATCATGCAGCCTCTACTCTCCTTCCTGTCCCTCTCCATCCCATGGTTACCCTTGCTCCGTGCCAGCATGCTGCATCCATGCTGCAGCCTGTGGAACTGAGCACAGCCCCAAAGCAGCAGCATACAGCCCACATGTCTACTGGGGGCTGTGCTCAGTGCTCCAGGTTAGAATGGGGACTGAGCCTGCTGGCACTGAGCAGAAGCTGGGGAAGAAACAGGGAAGCAGAGGCTGCGGGTAGGATGGGAAGGGAGCAGGGAGCAGAGGCTGCAAACTATAGGCCTGAATTTATGCAGAAGTTCACTGATCAATGGTCCTTTGGTACCACATCAAAATGCAGTGTGATGCAGATAGTACTGGATGTGTGAACTTCACTCAGTTCCAATAACTATGTTTTATACAGATGCCTTCAGAAATTAGCAGTGGTGGACAGAACTATCTTCAAGATATTCTATTTGTAACCGGGGAATACCCAAAGGTGTGCTCATCCTCAATTGGAAAGGATAGATGAGGCAGTCAACAGTGCTGTAAGAAGGCCACGGGTGATTTGAGCACAGGTTCCTCTTTCCTCTATAGAGTCAACTCCACACCAATGCTCTTAACTCAGTTTATTGAATTATAATACACATATTATTTCTTATTATATATGTAAATATTCTAATAGGTAACAAAGGAAAACTTTCTGAAAATATTCTTAGCAGTATCTTTTAACAACATCAAAGGTATACAGATGAATATTTACAATATGATAAGCCAAAAACCCATTAAACCAAACTAACCCAAATCCATAACACTTTGTACAACATACTCATAATTATGATAACGGTTATACAAAATATGAGGTGCAGTCTTACACGACATGAGGCGCGTTTACCCCTGGATCCCAGCTAGCAAGGGGTGCTTCCCCTTCTATGGGTCTAGGTGGGAGAGAAACTTTTACCCAGGGCTTCCCAGGGGGGAAATTACCTTATTTCAGGAATGCCTCCCCTGAGGGACCCAACTCCGCCAGCAACTTAGTTTCCTTCGAGGAGCCATCAACCAGACCTCAGAGCCCTTCGCTCAGTCAGAGGCCCCACCAGCACCACTGATCACTGCGTCACTCCAGCACCTCCCCTCCTGGCCCTGTGCCCCACTTTGGGCACCGAGGGTTCTTCCAGCTCTTGTGGGGACGGAACCTAGCCGCTGCTGGCTGGGTTTACCTGGCCTTATGCCTTGACATCCCCTTTCCTGGGCCCTGCTCTAGGTTCCGGGGCTTTTTTAGTTCTTTGGCCGGGCCACACTGCGGGGCTCCAATTATCCAGCTTACGCCCGGGCCAACCTGAGCAGCCTCAAGCTGCTCCCAGGGCAGGTTCTCTGCGTGCCGGACTGCACAATGTGCGGGGCCCGAGCAGCCTTGAGCTACTCCCAGGGCTGGCTCCCCATTTGCCGACCTGCACACCACTCCGTCCAGCCCTCTGCTGAGGATGCAGGCTTGAGCTGCCTCAACGCAGCTCCCAGAGCCTGAGCCTGAGCCCTGTGCACCAGCCTGTGCACCACTGGGGTGAAGAAAGGATCTTGTGTAGGCTCTTCCCTCTCCAATGTCCCTTGCTGTCTCTGCCCAGTGTGCTGAGCACGCTGGGCTTTTATTTACACTGGAGGCCCTGCCCCTGAAGTCTGCCAGACCTGCAAAGAGCAGTCTTCAATCAGGTCCAGGTGCTCCTTGCCCCCCCACCTCCAAGCAGAGGCAGGACAAGCCCCTCTCATCTGTTACCTGATTGGTAGAAATGTTCCACCAATCAGAAGTGTCCTTCTCCAAGCTGGGCTTGCTGGGCAAAAGCGGCACATATTTATTCTTATCTAGGAAGTTCCAAACAATTGGGACAAACACTCTTCCACCTGGAGGGAGCTCTCATGGGAGGTTCTTTGGAGGTTAATTTATCATCTCTGTTGTTCAGCATGTACATAAGGACATTAGGAGAATTAATGACAAATTATGAGCTGTTGCATGTAATGAGAATCATCATGTGATCTGGCTGACATAATGGAACAAATAATTCTGTACAACTACGAACTTGGAGAATAGATGTGTGCAAAGTGGCCAGTTCTTAAATAAGACAAACCCAGGTAATGATGGAAAAGGCACCAGAAAAATTGACTAGGTTGGTACCTGCAAGGAAGGATGCTGCTGTACATTGGGTCCTCTGGGAAGGTCCAACTAGTATCAAATCATAGATAATTAGGTTTGGAAGGGACCTTAGGAGGTCATCTAGTCTAACCCCTGCTCAAAGCAGGACCATCCCCAACTATATCATCCCAGCCAAGGCGTTGTCTAGCTGGGTCTTAAAAACCTCCAAGGATGGAGACTCCACTACCTCTCTGGGTAACCTGTTCCAGTGTTTTACTACCCTCCTAGTGAGAAAGTTTTCCCTGATATCCAACCTAAACTTCCCTTGCTGCAACTTGAGACCACTGTTCTTTGTTCTATCATCTGCCACCACTGAGAACAGTTAAGCTCCATCCTCTTTGGAACTCCTCTTCAGGTGGTTGAAGGTTATTATTAAATCCCGTCAGAATGTCAATACCTGCTGATTTACTTACAGGCTATGTACAGCATGCACAACAATATTCATATCTGGTAGCCATGCTGGAACCCAAAAGGTTCGTTTTAACCTCTAAACCCCAAAATTTTTCAAAGCCCAATTAACTACGAAAATCCCTCCCTCAGTCCCCGCCTCGAGACAGCTGAGATTGGCAACAGTATTTGAATTGGAACTTGCTTGGTATAAATTAAGAGTTTCCATGAATATTATCCCCGACTCTGTAATTAGTTTCCCTCCTTGGTCATCAGGATCATGGATCTGTTTATCGTTCATGCTGCCATTTTTTCTCAGATGTACATAAGGGCTCAAAACTGAGAATAGTTTAGAGCCAGTGGTGATGTGCAGGCAGGCGGGGCAGAGCACTGGTGCACCCTGTGACAGCCAGTGCTCCCCACTTAGGCAACAGGCAGGGGGTAGGCAGTGGTGCCCCCCCTGTGAGTACCAGCCAGAGAGTGGAGGCGCCAAGAGAAGTGCCGCTGGCACTTCTGGGTGCCCCGCTCATGCTTCCCAGTCAGCGTGATCAGCCATGGGGGCTTCCCCCTCAACTCTGTGAGCTCGGCTATGGTTGCTGACTGCCCACTGGGGGGGGCACATGCCCCCCTGACTCAGGAAGTGCCAGTTCCCCCTGGTTAGAGCTGTCCAACTCATGGCCTGAGCTATCCAACTCAAGGCCGCATGAAGCCTCTGAGAGGTTTGCCTCTGGCTCTAGAGGCTCCTTATCCAGGTGCAGCAGCCCTCACTACTCTCCTGCTGCTGCCACCAGAGTCTTTGGGCTCACTCTCTCTCTCTCTCCTGGCTTTTGCTTCCTTCCCCACACCTGGGGGCAGGGCAGGGTGGCCAGCTTGTAGAGCTGGAGTGGACTGCCAGTGGTTTTGGGGGGACCCAAAACCCATGCAGCATGGGGTCACCAGCACAATACAGTGTCTGCACTATGGTGTGCAGCCTGGAGGTGTGCAGTCCATGCAACATGGGCCTGGGGTGCCTGCAGCCCCTAGCCACTCAGAAGTTGGACAGCCCTGGTTTAGGTGAAGTCTTAAAGTATGGTAGGGTAGGATGATTTTACTTTTTATGGAAGAACACAGAAACTTGAAAATATCTAACTAAAAATTCATGACTAACTTAAATTTCAGGAGGTGTCTACAACTCTGTGCATTGATAAAAACAGATGCATGTATTAACTTTAAAGCATCATTTATAACAATTTAAATGGAACATTGGTAATTATGTCACTGCTGATCATTTTTAGTTGAAACATCCAAAAACTTTTGGCCTTGGCTATAGCTTAGAAGCACCCCTTCCACTGGTTGCTAATTTTGAGGAGACACACCTACCATCCAATACCCAAGAGAAATGAAAGTAGTAAGCATCAAATGGCTATACAAACAGCAACTCACTGAGTTTTTGTTTGATTTACGAAGTTCATCAAGGATTAATTTGTTGAGGTTAGTAGCATAACATACTGAAAAATGCTGATGTAAATATAACAGGATACCATGTCATGAGTGTTTTGGATCTTCAACTTCCTTCAGTAGCAAAGTAGCTTGCCAGCTCTTCACTGTTTAATACCCATCTAAATTATAATGGTTACTTTGGGGCTATAACTTCAGTATGTAAGATTTTCAAAATTCTTGTTTCCTACAAAATGCTACAATAGCAAAAAATGTAATGCAGAAAAGTAAAAACCGAACCTTTGAATTCAATTTATGGATTATTTTGTCTTTGTTCGTAATCTTGTTTTCCAAATTAGAAGATCTCTCACTTTCAGAAGCTCGATCCCCTAAATCAAAATCATCTCCTCTTCTTGTTACCTTTTTGAGATAATAGAAAACATGAAGTACTGTACTTCTGCATTTTAGAAAGGCATGCTGCATGGAGTAACAAAGAGTGAGCCTTGAAAATGGGAGAAAACATATGCTTAGATACTTCATAAAAACAAAAAACAACGTATTTGCCCTCAAGCCACAATTGGCATAGCCACACAATTTACCACAACATAGCTGAGGGTAGAGGGGATTTACAGTACATCAGTTACTCCACAATAATTGCCCATGTGCACACTTTGATCCATCAGGAAAAGAAAGTGAATCCAAAGTAGCTTGCCTCTTGCTTACTCTGGGGTAATTTGTTCATGTGCTTATATTGTGTAACATCAGCCTAAGATAAAAATCGTCAAGTTTAAGAACCAAAGGTACTTGAAATAAAGTCTGTAAATTTCGCTTTTGAAAAGCAAATAAAAATATGACTGATATTGAGATTAACCAGGTGCTTCAGTGGAAGGCTTGCCTTGTAAAAACAAGACGTAGAATTTGATCTAACTTCAGTGAAAGCACTGAATTGGTCCCTCAAGTGGAATAATACAAAAGAACTCAAGGACTGGAGTAAACCAAGCTACTCTTAAAATTAATCCTTTTGTCTTGTGCATCTTAAGCAATGAAAGCAATCAGCTGTCATTCTCAAAAAGAGTAAAACAAAGATCAGTATAGTTTGAATATGAACAATACTTTAAAAAATCATACTAAAGCAGGGGTGTCAAAATATGGCTCAACCCACAGTGCTGCCCATGGATTTCTGACTGGTCCCATGCACCATATGCAGCATGTGCTGGCTCTGGCCCTGCATACTGCACATGGCACATAGAGCCTGTCTGACATGAGCTGCATGCAGTGTGTGGGGCCAGTCCAGGACATGTTCTGCATGTGGCTGGCCTGGATCAGGCCCACACACAGAATATAGTGCATAGGGCCAAGCTGGAGCAGCCTCTGAGTGCAGCACATGGGGCTGGGGCCAGCACATGTTGCATATGGTGCGCACGAGTGGAATAAGCACACTTGCTGCGCACAGTGCATGGGGCCAGTACAGGGTGTGTGCTACGTGTGACACACGCCAGACCTGCCCTGTGCGCTGGCCCTGTAAACCTGATCCAGCCCACAGACCAGACCTGAACCCCTTATCTGGCCTACGGGACCAAGTAAGTTGGATACCCCTGCACTAAATGAGAGAAAAGGAATGACACGAAATAGCACCTCTCAGAAGGTATTTATTGGTTAATTCTTCTGAATGAGCCAATTCCTTCAGCAAAACAAGACTGATTATTCCCGTAAGATTCAAATTGAGTGAATGGGGCACGTGTGCATCAAAAACATGCTCTGAACCTGCAAATATTTATGAAACTGCTTAATTTAGCACTTGAGCATGATCATTTACAGGATCGAGCCCTCATAGATAACTGAGGAGCAGCGATGATCAGGTGTACTGAATGGTATAAGCTCAGGTGTCTAACCCACCCTACCCACCAGAGCTGGATTCAGATCACAGGGCTCTTCATGGGTTAAGGGCTGGGGGTTGGAGCAGCAGTTGTTTTCCTCTGCACCTGACATGCCCCCCCAACCCGGCTCTGTCCCAGACTTCCACTTGCCCTGCCCCTGATCTCTCTGGGAGCCCCAGACATTTGACACCCCTGAAAGAGCCAAATTCAAGGATCTCAAAGGAGATGGCACACCAAGTGACACAGCAGGGAGAGGCTATGATTTTTCAGAGGCAGACCTGGGATAATCACTGAAATTATACTGAAAAGCTTTAGAAAAAGTCTTGCCATGAACTAACTGACAAATCTGACCAAACATAGTCAAACAACTCTTACACAATAAAGAAAAAAATAAGATAAATGCTAACAATTCCGGACCCGGTTGTTTTCTTTGGATTCAATAGGACTTTGTTAGGAGCTTCAATGACCAGCACCCCAAATGTATTCAAATCACTCACTCCACTTTATTCACTGCTCTATGCTTGTCCTTTTACAATATTGAATTAAGTCAATGGGTTCACAAAAGCTTCTGCTTTATACACGTGTACATTATTTAGTTAGTCTAAAAGTGCAAATTCTACCCTGACTCCAAACTTACATCTAACTACCATTCCCCAGAGGTGGGCAAACTATATCCATCCAACCCCCCCTCACTCACCCCCC